GCTCTGTGCAGTGTCTCTCAGGACACTTGGTTGCACTTCATCCTGCGGCAGGATTTGTTTTTCAGGAACTGGGGAACACAGACCTCAGGGCTTGCACTTTCCGTGGCCCCAGCCCCTGTCCTCACCTTTTTCCTAGCTTGGTGCCTGCAGCCTCACTTGCTCAGCAGGCACCTCGGAGTCCTGTGCACAGGAAGGAGTAGCATGTCCCCGGATGGAAATGGACCACATCCCTTCTGCCTTCAGAAAACTCACTCATGAGCTTCTACTCAGTTTTAGAAAGAGGAAAAAAAGTAAAGAAATGTCTTACAGCCTATTTCTGAATGCTGAAAAAGGGCAAGGTGCTGGTGCAGCTTTGAGATACCTCCTGAGGCACCCTGGGGACATCTTCTTTTGCCTCCTCCTGTTCACCCCTGCAGCGCCCTGCTTGGTACCAGACAGCCCTGCCTGAATCCTCCAGGCAGGGTGCAGAGAGCATTCCCTCCTCACTGCCACAGTTGCACCCTGCCAGGCAGGGTTAGGGCTGGGTGTGTGCCCGGGGCTCACCTCCTCCCGCCGCCTGCGATGCCGTGCGGTGTTCCTGAGCGATGCTGCCCTGTCTGCTCGTATTTCATGTGCTGCCAGAGCTTGTCAATGTGCTGTTTGGTACATCAACAAATCGACACTACACAAACAGAAAGCTAACAGGGAATGATTTATCCAGGACAACACGTCTGTGTGTCCAGCAAGGCGAGATGTCCTGAAAACAAAATTCAGTGTTTACCGAGGACTCATCAGAAGAGCTGGTGTTTCGTGCCACAGCTGAATCGTGCTTGGATCTCACTCTTTCTGGGTGTTGCTTGTTTAATCATAGGATGCTTTCCTTTTAATTAGTCACTGCTGCTACTGATGAGAGAATTAGCAGACTCTTCTTTTAATGGAGAAGCTGAGGCTGTGGCAGCTGTGCTGTAATGGGAGTGGTGGGCAGAGGCTTTGTGCTGCATAGAAACCCCAGGCTGTGCACCTCAGGCTCTGCTTCCTGCAGAATACCCTTTTTAGGGTGGACCTGGAGGGTTGTTTTTTTCCACACAATATATCATTTAGTCGAAGGAAGGATGTTACCTCCCCCAGATGTTGTGTTCTGGCCCTCAGAGGGGAAAGCTGAGTGATTTTACCTTCTGTCTTCCTCCCAGCCCAGCGAGGACACACAGAGCTGGTTGTGTGCCAGGAGTCAGTGACTCTCTCAGGTACATCATGTCTAGAGCTGGTCGATGGTGTTTTGATTAGACAGTTATTGTCAGAAAATGGCACTTTATCTCATTTGAAGCTGTCCGTGGGAGAGGAGCATTTTCAGTGAACTGGCCTCAAAAAAAATCCCAACTTTATTGGAATATATTGTCTGAGATATTTGAAGTGTCCATTTGAACAGCTGGGGAACAAAACGTTCCATGTTCTTCTTCAAGCTGACTTTTATTTATGTTTTTTAATTTTGGTTGATTTACAGTACAGAGCAAAGGGATAAAGGAATGGGGACTGAAATGGAGAGAAGTACTTCCAAGATTTTGTGCACAGTGTTTCATTTTGCCAAGTCTGACACTCTGCATTCCTGTTTGGGATGGGATGACAATTTCAATTTCAATAGGAGAGAAAAAGCCACGTTCCTGCTTATATTGTAATGATGTCTCAGGAAAAATGTCTCAGACACGTTTGTGATTTCTCTAGAGCAGAAGCATCTTATAACCAGTCTTATTTTCTATATACATCTGTGGCTTCGTGAAAATCCCATAGCTGGCATTCTCAGAAGGGTCTGAATCCCCACTGCCTGGCTGGGTTCCCCTTGGGCAGGCTCATGATCACAGCCCACCTCTGTTTATATAAATAAATCCCAGTGGTGCTCATGGCAGGGGTCCATGCGGGTGCCCCATGGACTGGCTGTAGTGATGTGTCCCTTGAAAGGGATGTTGAGCTGTTGCAGGGGGCTCATGAGCTGCCCTGGGGATCCTCAAGCAGGACTGAGGGTCTTGGGGGAGAGTGCTCCACAGCTGGCTGTGAAATCCTCTGAGTAATTTGCATCATCCCATCTCAACTGTTTAGGGATGTGTTGTTTCCAGGAGCAAAATAACTCAGCCGATTTCAGCTGGATCTGGTTGGGGTGTGCTTCCAGTGGAGGATCAGCTCACCCTCCCCAGCAGAGCTCCAGGCTGCTCTGGAGACCATTCTCTGTTCCTAGATGGGTGAAAGGGAGTTTTCCCTTTCTCTTTCAACCAATTTTGACCATCAATCTTAGATTTTTGGATATTCTCACCTCTGGTTCATGAGATCCCGCTCTTCATTTTTATTATGTCTGCTCAATATCTCAGATATTAAAAATGGTTTCCTGTAAGGGAAGCGGAAAAGAGTGGGTGGAGGAGGAATAGGAGGCCAGGTGGCTTTTTTAGAGTGAAGCAGGGGTAGATTGGGTGGATCTGGTGCTGCTGTGGGTGCTCAGCATCACCTTGCTGCACAGGCTGATCCATAGCCCTCCCACGCCAGTGCCAGGGGTATTTGGGGCTCTCCTGAGCTGGGTGGTCTGGGAGGGATATTTCATGGGCTGGGGGAGCCATGGCCCTTCCCATGGGTGCTGAAGGTCCTGGGAGAGTTGCAGAGTAGGTGCTGCTCCCCCTCTGGCTCCCCACATCACCCAACTGTGCCCTGCCAGTGCCTCCCATCTGGATTTTCACACCCCAACAACATCTCCAATCAGAAGGTGCTCGTGAAGTGCAAAGTTTCATTAATCTGTGCTATTAACATGTCATCCCTTCCAAGGCTGCTGGATTTTCCATGTCAGCCTCCATGAGGAAGGGATGTTGTGGCTGCCTGAGATGTTGGGCGCCGCTCACGCGTTGAGGGTTTAACTGGGTTGTGCCTGCAGGGCCAGTTAGATTTGGCAGTGCCACCACAAAGAGGGAACAGAGGGTGGAAATCAGCCTTCAGGGCCCAGGTTAGTGGTGCTGATGGATGAAAAGGAAATCTTCCAGGAACACGTCTTCTTTCCAGCAGGATCACTGCGGTACTGATCACAGCACAGCCTGCCTCGGCGCTGGGGCACTCATAAATGAGTTGGCATTTTTTTGTGACTAATGTAGACTTTCAGCTATTTGAAATTGTCCTGAGGTGCAGCTTGACATATAAGTTCTCGGCCTATTTATTACTTTGTGTCTGAGTGTTCCCATAGGTACATGGCTTTAAACCAGGGCTGCGTTTAATATTGGGAGCCGGAGCTGTATTTTAGCTGTAGACCAGTGAGCAGGTGATTTGGGCTGTGCGTGTGATGTGTTTGGCAAACTCTAGCCAAGGGATCTGTTCCTCAGTGAGGATGTGCGAGGTAAAAGCTGTGTTCAACACTCTCTGTTTTTGCTTTTTTATTACATTTTCTTCTAAGTGCTGCTGTTTCCCCCTTCACTATACTGTGTCATCACAAGCTCCCACCAATATCAGTGCAAGTCTGCAGGGATTACACTACCACGCTGAGATAACATCAGGCCAATTTGGGTCCCCGTCTAACCTCACACTGGATTGGAGGAACTTGAGCTTCAAAGGCTGAGCCTGGACACCTTAACCCTGGGAAAGAGAGAGTTGAACGCCTGCATGAATTTGTCTGTTATTTGCCAGTGTGTGTCTGTGAAGCCTTTGGTTGCTGTGGTTTTTTGGGGCTCTGAAGCGCAGTTGGCAAGTGTTGACCCTGCCCCTGAGTCCTCCCCTCTCATGGTTGCCATGGTGTTGGGGTTGGGTCACCTTACGTCAAACCCTACAGCTTGTGCTCCTGCTCTGTTGTAGGAAGTTTTTGGTCAGTCATGAAGGTGTTTCATGTAGCTGGTGGGTGCAGTCAACTGCATTTGCTGCACATTGTGTTCTGTCACAGCGTGGCTGCTGTGAATGTGCACATCTGGCCATAACCCACCACGGTGTGCAGGCATCTAAAGACACACGGGTGGTTACATGTGGGGGTTTAGAACAGTGTCTGAGTGAGTTAAATGCCAAACTGCCCAAGAGGAGTCCAGCACCCGCTGTGTGTGAGGTGTTTTGTGAGCTGTGCCAGCCCAGTGCCCTGCGCCACCTCGGCGTTGCTGACGTGACCCCTCGGCCATCTGCCAGCGGGATGTCGGCTCCTGATTTTAATGAAGCCTTTAAGTAGAAACATGCAGTTGTGGCCGTGTGTTGGGGTTATATGGGGAGAAGGGATCTGATACTGAGGATTCTGTTCCCGTCTTTGCCACTGACTGATCCTAAACAGACTACACCACCGGTTTTTGTCTTCTACCATATGTTTTCCGATAATGCCCGCCCACCCATCGGGGAAAGCACAGCGCTGGGCATCTGCAGGCATTGTTGGGAACCCTCTGTGAAATATGCTACAAAAACATGAAAGGTATTAATTTAGGTCTAAGACTACTGGAAGTCTGTTTGTTAAGGTTTTTTCATACCTCTGTTTTTAAATTGCCGCTCTGGAATGCCAGGATCGGGCCCTTCCTCAGTAGCAGGTTTGGCACCTCCTGGTAAGGAGATTTTTTTGAGCCATTCCAGCTATATCACCTCAGATCTCTGGTTTTGAAAAATCCTAGCTTAAATCTTTTGATGAGCTACTAAATAAAAAAACAGGCCCTAAAGGGATATTTATGTGAGAAAACGGTCCAACTTTCCCCTCTGCATAAGGAGAATCCGCTTGGGGGATGTCAGAGCATTAAGCCTCAGTACATGCCACTTCTGCATAAACCTCCTGAGGTGGTACTAAAGCTCTGATTAATGTGAAGTCCATGTCTGGATTTACCTGCTGAATTTACAACAGGTTTCTAAACCTTAAATACTCTGCTAGTATTTTTCTTCTGTCTCCTGGGCTTTGAGTGAGCTATTGCCATTCTCTCACCACACCATTAGCATCAGTATTCTCACCCTTGCAGTATTGCAGCTTGTTGTGTTTCCACATGTGATTTTGGATATCAGGCTGTGATGTTTACTTTCTCCCTTTCCTCCTCTTCCTTCCCCAGCCAGAGGAACTTACCAATGCCCTGGAGATCAGCAACATCGTCTTCACAAGCCTCTTTGCTCTGGAGATGCTATTGAAAGTCCTTGTTTATGGTCCTTTTGGCTACATTAAGAATCCATACAACATCTTTGATGGGATCATCGTGGTGATTAGGTACAAACCTTGAGCTTTCTTTATGTGCATTTCTCCTCATTTGGCTGTTTAATTAAACAGAAAGTAATGGAGACTAGGCATAAATACCTTCCTGTGACACTTTACACTTCTCTCTGTAAATTAATGCACTTAGACACGGTTCCTAATACACACCTTGGGATTATTTTATGGTCATTTTAGAGAGAGGCCTGGACAGAAAGCTATCAGTCCTGATGTCCTGGGAAGGTCTGGGATCCAAATGGCACAACCAGTGCCCAATTAAGTATCTCTCTGGTTTTTTGGCATGTGCAAAGGCTGTAATTGCCCCTGCAGCTGCAGCCACTGATTTGCAGGCGTATTTTTGACACTCAAGTAGGGCTCTGCTCTTTGCAAGCCTGGACAGAGTCCAGATCGCCGTGGGCACTGGCAGCACATCTCTGCCCGCTTTCCACCCCTCTTCTCTCTGAATTTCACCCTCCCTTTGCTTCCTGCCCTCGGTGCCTTTGCATTAGGCTTTGTCCTGCCATCCTGCATTGATCTTGTTTTGTTTTCCTCAGTGTGTGGGAGATAGTGGGCCAGCAAGGTGGAGGGCTCTCGGTCCTGCGCACCTTTCGGCTCATGCGCGTGCTGAAGCTGGTCCGCTTCATGCCAGCCCTGCAGCGCCAGCTCGTCGTCCTCATGAAGACCATGGACAACGTGGCCACGTTCTGCATGTTGCTGATGCTCTTCATCTTCATCTTCAGGTGAGCGCCTCCCATTCCGCGTCGTGAGGGTTGCTTTGGAATTTTAGGTGGGATCCCGTGGTGGGATGAGGAGATGACAGAATCCGTACCCAGACAGGGCTGAGCTGAGCAGTCCCAGGAGCAGCATTGCTGGCCAACCCTGGCAGTGGCTTGCTGCCCTGACTAAATTATCATGGTTGGCCAAATGAGACATTTGTCTTTGCAAGATGATTTGCAAGGAAAGTCTTTCAGGCTGGACCATTCCTTGACATCACCCCAAGACAGCTGTCCCTTTACTTTCTGACTATCCAGGTGCTTAAAATATTGCCAAGATGAGGGTGATGTTCCTACAAAGAAGTCAGATGTGGTGGTGCTTGTGCTCTCACATGACCTCTTCTTCTGAGAAGTGGAATTGTTAGAAATAGGCTTGGCATAGCCTGGTATTTTTAGATTTTGGTCTAGATCTTGAGAAGAGCCTGTCTCCTTCTACAGCCAGCTATGGTGTTCCAGCAATCCAGGCACTGAGAAGGCTGAAGAAAGCCCGTCTCTTCCATGAAATAATGTCCCTTCTTCCAGCGAGACTTTTCACTCCAAAGCTGCCATTTGCAGCCGTGGTGCTCAGTGGAGCTGTAAATAATTTGATTATTCAGGTTACTAGCAGAGAGCAGGGAAAAGCAGATTATTCTTTTAGTATCTATCTATAATGAAGGGTATTCTGTTCTCTTGTCAAAATCGAAAAAGCCGCTTCAAGTCCCCTGATATGTCTTATTCAGGCATTTCACAGAAACCCTTTTTGTCTTCCTAATTCAATTGAAGCATATTTTGCTGAAAATGTGTCATTGCAAAACAGAAAGTCAAAACATTTTGTTTAGAAAATGTTGAAAGGCAATGTTTTGACTTAAAAAAAAAAGAAGCAGAAGAAAAAGAAGGAGCAGACATACTTTTTGGTTGAAACTCCTTGACAGATTTGACCTAAATTCACAACTGGTTTGCGTGATCTCAAGGCATGTTTTTCAGCGAACAAAGGATTCATCTTTTAAAAAAAAAAAAAAGGAATTGCCCAGGTGAAATCAGGAGACAGTCAGCTCTGCTGTATCCTTAGTGGTTTGTATCATGGTCCCTTTGTTGAGTCCCTGCTTCCCATCCTGTGCAGCATCCTGGGGATGCACCTCTTCGGCTGTAAGTTCGCGTCGGAGCGGGATGGCGACACACTGCCCGACAGGAAGAACTTCGACTCCTTGCTCTGGGCCATAGTCACTGTTTTCCAGGTACAAAATGGAAAATGCCACAGCTGATGGGCGTTTTGGGGTTGCAAAGAGGCTGGGGTTGTTTTCCAAAGCATCTGGCAGAGCTTAGTGAAGCTCCTTGCCATGGAAAGAGGGCGACCCAAAACCACAAGTGAAACACACGGGGACTTTCGGACTGTTTTTCTGACTAAATCTGAAAGTTGATGAGGAGGGGCTGCTGAGGCAGGAGGGTCTTGCATTTGCAGGGTATGGGCTGGGTGGGTGAAAGTAAGTGTAGCAGGTGAGGATGTAGAGAGGGAGATAGGACCGTTTGCAGTGATATTTTAACAAATAATGGAATCTATTTTAAGCCTGTAGTTGATATGTGCAGTTTTTTGGTTGATATGTGCAGCTCTGGGCTCTGTAACCCTGGGATCTGTGAAGGACTTCGAGTTGTTGCGGCTGACCAAAGGAAAGGTCTGACTAATGCAACGTTGCACTCCCTCATGGCTGGGCCTGTCCTTGGGTGCGGGGGCGAGTGGGGGCAGTTTGCACAGAGTCCTAACCAGTAGCTTGGGAATCACAGTCTCTTGGTCCTCTTTCTTCTCTGGCTCACAAAATGACTTGGGCTGGATTTATATTCCTGTGGTTAATTACAGCTACAGTGGATACCCCAGAAATGGGGTGCTTGTCTGGCCTGTCCAGAGCATGGATATCCAGCATGTCATATTCCGGCATCTCCATATTTCTGACACCCTTCCTCTGCAGATTCTGACCCAGGAAGACTGGAACAAGGTCCTTTACAATGGCATGGCATCCACCTCGTCCTGGGCTGCTCTCTACTTCATCGCTCTCATGACGTTTGGGAATTATGTTCTCTTTAATCTGCTGGTGGCCATCCTGGTAGAGGGGTTCCAGACAGAGGTAATGTCCTCACACTCATGCCTTTGCCTTCTTCCAAAGTTTCAGGGCCTCCAGATCCTGGAATTTGATTTCTGAGATGGACAGCAATACCTTGAAAAGAGTGGTACGGGGAAAAAAAGTGGGGTAAAATATTAGGTCTTCTTTCTGTTTTTTTAATTCTTTTCCTTTTCTGTAGCCACGGTGCAATTTAATACAGCAAACCCTCTAAATGAAGGGCTTAAATGAAAAGCATTGTTAGCATTAATGCAGGAGTGGGAATTGAGCAGTGAGTCAGGCACTGCGGATGGGATCGCTGCTATGACAGTCTCTTTGAAACAGTTTTCACCACGTTTGTCAGCCAGATTAAAGGCCCCTCCTGAAAACTTACGCAGGCTGGTAAGAGATTAGTGACACGATTATCTTTTTTCATGGTATGCATTCATGGAGCTCTTCCCGTTTCCAGCCCTGCAATGCTCTGCATATTTTAAAGTACATGATTTCTGGTCTCTGCCATCCGCTGCCTTGGGCTGGGAGCTTCCATGAGACATCCTGGATTGCTGGAGGCTTTGGGGGACACTTAGGTTTGAACTCAACCTCTTTTTCACCCTCCTGCTGATCCAACTGTCCAGTGGAGTGAGTGAGCATGTCACCTAGTCCCCCTCAGAGTGGGAGACCTGCGGTGCCCACCCCCTCCCTGCAAAAATTGTCTGACTGTTCAAGAACATCCTTAATGGGAGGGGACCCTTACACCCTGCCCAGGGGGTTGGTTGGAGAGGTAAATATAAACTAAAACTCCTCACTGGGTTCTGCTCATATAGGCTGTGCCTTCTACTGATTTTTATTAGCATTCTGGGGTGACTAAATATTATTTAAGATTTGTTGCATGTGTATTATAATATCCTACCACCCTATGAACAGAACTGTTTTTATTATCATTACTATTTTTGGAGCAGAGTTTGGAGTTAAATTAATGGAGTCATCCCAGGAGATAGCAAGAAGAAATATTTTTTTTTCTTGTATCGTCTCTCTCCATGTTGGTGCTTTTCTTTTTTTAACTGTTATTGTTGTAGCTGTTTCTGTCTGTAAATCCCCTACCACCACTCAGCCGAAGGGAAGATCACTGCCAGGTTCTCCCAAACGGCAAAATGTTCCCTTGCCTGAGTGAGAAGAGGTACAAAGCTCCTTGTCTGCTCGTGGTGACAGCTTTGAAACCCAACCTTATTTCTGTCTGGCAAATTGATTCTCTGAAGGTCACCAAAGCAGGACATCACCTGCTGCACCCGCTGTGCAGAGGAAGGGACTCAGCCTTTAAACACAGCAGCTCTTTTGCCAGCCCCTGGCCCTTGAGGGAGGCTGACACCTCTGCTCCTTGGCTCAGCCTGGTTTTCCATGCTAGAGCATTCCTGTGCTCCGCCTCTGCCACATGCCTCTTCCCTGGGCAGCAGTTTATCCTGCGCTCGCTTTATGGCCAGCTGTGCCATGGTGCAACTCCCTCTAAATTCAGGGACTGGCTTTCATGTGCTGTGATTTTATTCCACTAACCATGCCCCTGAGAGTGTGTCTACCCTGGAGCCAGGGAACTGCCTGCAGCACTCCCCAGATTTGCTTTTGGCCGTTTTCTGCAGCAGGGCTGCCCCATCGCCTGCCCCTGCGGCTCCTCTGCCAGCGCAGTGCCGGGCTGGTCCAAGCCAGCTCCCTGATATCTGTGTGAGCTGCAAATGTGCTTTAGGTGCTGCATAAATCAGGGAGTAACTTCTAATTTGGGAAAGCACTGAGACAGCCTGAAGGCAGTGATGCCCACACCAGTATTGAGGTGACTACAGGGACCAGGATCCAGTGCAGCCTCCGAACTGTCTCTGCCAGTCCTGCCTAGCCATGCCAATTTTAACTAACTTGCACCTTATTTTTCTAATTTGTGACTCTGATTACAGTGCTATTTTAAATCTCAGGCTTTGATGATGGCTTTTTAATAATATTCTTCCTTCCACATCCTTGTTATTCTGAGTTCTCCACATTCTTCCAGTAGAGTGTGATGGGACCAAGAGGTCCCTCAGCTCAACCCAAGTTTCCCACAGCAGGCGGGGAGCAAACGTCTCTGGAGGTCAGGAGCCAGCTCTGGCCTTGCTGGTTTATGTTTGTTCAGCTTTGCTGGTGTGTAGCTTTGCGAACAGATCACGTTCTGGTTTTTGCAAGCCAGCACACACAGGATCCTCTCCTAAGCAGAATTAATAGAGAGATCATCTCTCGCTGTAAACAAACCCCGGCGTCTCCCTCCCGTGATTGTACTTGACTCTTCTATGTTGGGTTTGGGTGGGTTTTTTTTGTTTTTCCATTCTCCTTCAGATTTCTGGGCTGAAACGCAATCCCAGGGCTGCTGCCTTTATCTCCCTGGTCCTTGAGTGCCTTTCCTCAATCCGCAAGCACCTCGTTAATTTTAGTGCATGGCTTTGCAGCCCCAGTTGCCAGGCAGCAGATGTATATAAGCAGTTGAGAAACTAAAAGGACCTGCTCCAAACTTTAAATATGGAACAATATATTTTGCAGGGTTGAGTTCCTTTTTTTTCCCCCCCTCTTTTCCTTTAATTTGGTAACCTGCTTCTCTCCTGCAAGAGGCACATGCAGGACTTTATGCCACGTCGTTGTTTTTGACCACACATTTCCTGATTTAACTGGAACCTCATGTTGGGGCAGGGAAGGTGAGCAGGGGGCTCTGTTTGATCAAGCTGCTAATTGGAAATTGCTGCCTGACCTCTCAGGTCCCTGCCTTAGAGACTTCTCTCTGAGGCAAGGAGTGACTTCTCTTAGTTGGGCATAAGCTCCTCTCCCAAGGGACTTCCTAATAGTATTATCTCCAAAGCTTATTCTTCCATTGGTAATCCTCCCAGTTTGTATCCCAGTATCCCTGTCTGTTCTCACTCATGGGTTTGTTCCTTCCCCTTCTTTGTGCCTCCCTCCCTCCCTGCACCCCAGGTCCTCCAGCCTCTCCTTTTCCCCGCAGGACATTTACCTGCATTCTAGAGGCAGCATCCTTGGAGAAATATGGATGTTGACTTCTTCAGGGCTTCCACCAGAGGGAACAGTCCCTTCTCCCACAGTAGAGATTTTGGATGGTGTTTTTTCTTGCACCCCTTGCCTATTGCATTCCTATTGGTTTTAGTGGGATTTTCCTTGTGAAAGGAAAAGTGTTTCCATCTTTTCTCTTTCAATGGCTTTTCCATGTCTCTCTCTGTTACAAGCAAAGACTTTAAGTGTCCATCGCTCTGCTGGCAAGTCCTTCTTAAAATCTTCCTCCCAGCCCAGGCAAGAAATTAAGCTGGTAGGACAATCTGTGCCCTCCTGCTGCAGCATTTGACCTCCTCTGGCCCCATGGGATGGGACCAGGCACAGATGCACTGCTGAAAAGTGAGGAATAGTGAGAGAGCTGCCCCTGAGGAAAGGGAAACACAGCAATGTGAAAAACCGTGTGTGCTTTCCAAGTGGGCAGGGAAAGGCTGACTTTTGGCGCTGTGAAATGATGTTGGGGCCGCTGGTGTGGCAAAGCTCCCCAGGATGGGGCTGTGCCCCCCTGCCTGCAGACCCCTGTTTTAAAGTGCTGATTTAAATGGGTGTCTCCACTAGCAGGGCTGTGGAGGGATCTGAACTCACAGCAGATTGTGTGTCTCTCCTTAAATTAGGTATTTCACCTGGCTGCAAGAGCACTGATATTGTGTTAATCAAACATTCATTAAAAGCCTCCGTTGCTGCCTAATGAAGGCGTAATAAATAAAGATGCTATTATAGAGCTGCAAAAAAAAAAATAATCATGTTTTCAATAATTAGCTGGTGTTTCATTAGCACAATTATCACTTAGGAGCTGAAGCAAGCTCTGATCGAAACACTTAATTTAAAGGTAAGGCTGGTCCCTACAAAGGGCTTTGCTTCACCTTAGATCTTCCCCTCCTTCCCTGCGCTGAGTGGAACGGGGCAGGTGTCCCAGCCTGGCACTCTATCGTGGCCACACACTGCCCTTCTCCCCCTTCCCCCCTCCTTCCCTGCCTCTTCTCGTGTGTTTTTTGATTCCCCATTCAGTCCTGCTGTTGAAACTGTGAAAATTGAACCCCGCCTTCCCCTTCCTCCCCCCTCCCTCCCCCCGTTTCTCCTTCAGGAGATCTCCAAGCGAGAAGATGCGAGTGGGCAGTTAAGCTGTATTCAGCTGCCTGTCGACTCGTCGGGGGTATGTACAGCACATCCCACTGCCACCGTGGTTGTCTCTCTCGTGGTGCCTGGTCACACACCGTGGTGCTGTTCTCATTGTAGTAGCTGTCATCCTTTTGGGGTTTTTTTGGGTGTTTTGGGAGTGTTTTTTCTTTTTCTTTCCTTTTTTTGTCACCCTCATTGTCGAGTCAGCCCTGATTTTAAGTCCCTTCCTTCTCTGAGGGAGCCAGATAAATTAAGGTGGGTGCTTTGGAGTAGCTGATGTGGCTCCAGCCACAGCTCTTGCTGACCCCTTTCTAGATGCCTGCCCTGGGAAAGGCTCCCCACGGGGCTGTGACAGCCTCTCCATGGCACAGTCACATCCTGGGGACCTCCCTAGGCGTGTGGATGGTGATGCTGATTGCTGAGTGTGCCTGCTGAGGCTCCCTCACGCAGGTGGAGGAGGATGACCAGGAGTGAAGGGACCTGGAATCAAGCCTGTTTGTGGACACGTGTGTGTGGGAGCCCTGTGCTCTGCAGGACAGGGTAGGACGGCAGCAGCTGCACCGTGGTATGTCCAGAAAGGCTGGTTGGAATGCTGGGATTGCCAACGAGATGCCACATTACAGCGCAGCCAGGATGTGAAATGGTCCCGTCCAGGTCTGAGGAAGCCATGGATCTCCAAAGTGCAGCACACCCCAAACCTTACCCTTCTGCCAACCTCCTATTTCTCTTTACCACTCCCTTCCCTTTCTGTCCTTTCCAAGAAGCCTGACTTTTCCCTCAGCCCAGAAGCCCTTCCCCCTTGTATCCCAGTGTATCGATCCCCTTCGGTACAGGCTGGTTTAGCTGTTGTACCTGGTCCATCTTGACGTACCCTCGTTTCCCAAAAGGATTTTAACTCCCTGTTCTCTCCTAACCCCTTTTCTATCCAGAAAGGCAAACTGGGAGTGCAAGAACAGGTAACGGGCAGCAGTCACGGCTGTGAGATGTTTGCCTGCACCATACTGAGTCTGGCACGTGGTGTTTGGGAGGGGATGTTCACTGTCCTCCAGACGTGGGGTTTGGTGCTGGGGAAGGGGGTGGGCAGTCCCCATGTAGCTCTGCTTTTCCATCTCAGCGCACATCTCATTGTGCCCCCTTAAAACTTTCCTTTAGGCTCTTAAAGAGCACTCCAGGAATACAAATCACGTAAAATTCTTCCCATTATTTATTTCTTTTTAATAACCCATTAGGGAGACTGAGTAATTCCTGGCAGGCTCACTGACAGGCTGAGCCGGGAGCCTCCGGGGGAACATACCTGGAGCCAGCTGGAGCCCCTGTTCATACAGACACAGGTCTGACTCCAGCAAAGCTCAAGCCAGCCTGGCTTTACTGCTCCCCCTTGCAAGGTGCATTCCTGACCTTCTCAGACTGCATCCTGCAGGATGAGCTTCCCTGAATAGCACAGAAGTTCTGGATTGTCAGGACGGGAAGTTTTGAGCCAACACTTCACGTCACACTCTCTTTTGCCTTGAAAATGTGTCTGAGTGTCCAGTCTGCCTGGAAGAAATATCTTTAACAGTTTAGTGACCCCACTAAATAGGGAGGCAGTACTGGGGCTCAGCCTTCTGGGGTTTTGCCTAACAATGAGGTGCAGGGCACTGACTTGTGTTGGATCCATCTCTTCCTCCTGTCCCACGCTGGGGTCCTTCTGGGATTTTTCAGTCAACAGGTACCCGAGCACCAAACCTCAGCAGCGCTGGCCAGGGCTCCTGGGGACGCAGCTTAGCCTTGGTGGGGTTTTCTGGGGCTCCTGGGCTCTCACAGCTAAAGTGAGGGTCTGCTTGGCTTCTCCCATCCCAGCATCTTCCCTCTCTTCCCACCTCTCCTCCATTGTGACAGGGCTTGGTGCCCTTTGCCAGAGCAGTGGTTTCAGCTGTGAATCCTCCTCTTTTTGGATGGATATCGATCGTTCTGGCGAGCACCACTGCCCGTTGGGTGTATCCTGACTATACCACACCCTAAGTGCCTTTCTGCAGTGCCAATGGACAGAATCAGGGTGACACACAGGGACATCCCTGATCGGGTCTGTGCCACAAGACCGAGTGAGAGCCCGGGCACCACGCTGTGAGCACTGGTAAACATCCTCTCTCTCTGCCCGAGGATGGGCACCTGTCAGAGCAGGCAGCTCTCGCTCAACCCCCGACGTTCGAAATGATAGGGCAGAATTTAAACTCCTCAAACGATACAGTGTAAATCCCCAAAACTTCTGCTCCTGTTATGTGTGGCAGCTGGGAGGGGAACGGCCACTCACGGCAGTTGGGTTCTGCCACCTGGATCCTCTCTGTGCTGATGGGGCGTCCATCGACACGTGCACATGAGTCACGTAGGAAATTTGGGGTCTGTTGTGCCCCTTCTGAACCCTGGATTGCTCCATCACTAGAAAGAGCCACACACAGAGAGTTTTAAGACATGGTGTATAAATTAAGAGAGATTAGTAGGGCCATCTTTTGTCCACAAATTGCTCATCGGATATCTGTCCTTTCCTAACATCTGCCCCATATACAATTCCAGCAGCAAAAATTAAGCAATGGTTTGGTTTTTTCTGATCCCTTTCTGGGACCATGTTTGGAGCCAGAGGCAATCCATCTTCCTGGTAGGAGGTTAATTAGTCTGTGGTATAAACCTGTGCATGCATCATTTTGTGGAAGGTGGTGTTGCATTGTGGTACAAAGTTCAGTGGATCCGTAGGTGTGGTGTTGGAGATGGGAATCCATTTTTGCAGAGGGGTGTCCATGCACTGTGGCCCATAACCCTCGTTGCTGAAGCCCTTTGTTTTGCTCCAGGGTGATGCTTCCAAGTCTGATTCCGAGGGGGATCTCTTTCCCCGCAGCCTGGAAGAGGAGGGAGGACTTAAGAAAAACTTGTCAAATCCAGCCTGTGAGTAATGATCCCAGGAGGATGGGCCCTTCCACAGAAACCTCACTTTGCTGGGAAAACAATGTGTCCGAAAGGAAAAAGCCCTCCTAGAGGGAATGCTGTAATCCCAGTTGTGGTTTGCTTGACATTGCAGCAGGCTTGCGGCTTGGGGTGGGATTTTGGGATGCAGACAGGGAGGGACATGATTGCTTTTGAGCTGTAATTTCCCCACCAAGCCTGAGGTCTGGGCTTTTGGGCTATCACTGCAGGAGGAGCATGGCGAAGGAGGATGGAGGGAGCGGGCATGGGAAAGGAGGTTTCTAGAGCTGGTGGGTGTTGGTTTGAGGGTTGAGGGGCCACAGATGACATTCTGCATCTGCTCTCCTCTGTCATTGACACATGATCCCACATGATCCCATTACTGTTTGACGTTCCCCTGCCAGGCTGAAGGATGGGCTCCCAGTTCTCCAGACGGGCTTTCTGGCCCACATTCCCCTGGTGCTCGGAGCAGAGCCATCCCCACGCAGCCTCTTTGCCTGCCCGAGAGCGGGTTGCAGATGTGCCCCTTGAGGTGTGACACCTAAAAACCCTCTTGTGTCTTCCAGTGATGGCCTTGAGCGACCACCCGGAGCTGAAGAAGAGCCTGACCCCTCCGCTCATCATCCACACCGCTGCCACGCCGATGCCCATGCCCAAGAGCGCCGTGTTCGGGGACGCGGCGCAGGGCTACGAGTCCCGCCGGGCCAGTGGCGTCTCCGTGGACCCCGCCCTCTACGAGCTCAAGTCCCCGGTACTCGCGTCACCTCCTCCTGCGGATGTTCAGTGCGTCCGTGGGGCCGTCCGTCCACCCATCCGCCCCAGCAGCCTGGCACGGGGCGGGTGGCACAGGGCTGACGCTCTTCCCTGTCCCTGTCCTTCCCGCAGCCCAGCGCCCGCAGCTCCCCGCACAGTCCCTGGCGTGCCAGCAGCAGCTGGAACAGCCGCCGCTCCAGCTGGAACAGCATCGGCCGGGCCCCCAGCCTCAAGCGCCGGGGGCAGAGCGGCGAGCGCAGGTCCCTCCTCTCCGGGGAGGGCAAGGAGAGCTCGGAGGAAGGGGAGAGCTCGGATGAGGAGCACTCCAGCCGGGCCGGCAGCTTCAATGGCTCTTTGCCTCATCGCATGGAGTCGCTGGAAACGAAAGGGTCCTTCGACCTCCAGGATACCCTGCAGGTGCCTTCCCTGTACCGGACCAGCAGCATGCACAGCACACGAACCACTGCCTCCGAGCACCAGGACTGCAATGGGAAGACCTCTCCGGGTCTGCTGCTGCACCAGCTCCACCTGGATGACCCCCACCAGGATGGTGATGATGGTGATGATGAAGGCAACATGGTAAGGAAATGCCACGTGTTCGTTTCGGGCTTTTTTCCTTGTCGAAACGATCCTTGTCCCTGTCTTGGGAGCACACAAGTGGGTGCAAAGCAATGGCCTGTTGCAGGGATTAGGTCTCGCCATCACCACCAGACCAGACTGAGAGTCACCCAGGAGGTCTCTGGGCAGTGGATGACGTCAGAAATGGGGTTGGGATCATATCAAGTATTTCAGTGCAGTATCAGATGGCTCATCATGGAGAAATTAGGCCAAAACTCCCCAAGTTCCACTAAAACTTACAAAGTGAAGGCTATCTATTGGAAATATATTCTTTTCTGGGTTTATTTTTTCACTGTTTTTCCAAAAAGCCCCAAAACAAAGCAAGTAACTTTCCCCACTTTCCAGCTATTATTCAGTTTTTTGCCCCCGCAGCAGCAGCAGCAAATTTCTATTGACATCAACAGGCAAGGAAAGGGCAGGGCTTGGCCCTCCATTCCCATGACAGTGTTAGGCCTGTGGAGATTGTGGTAATTTCGGAGGCTTTGCATTAATTTCCATCTGAAGAGGCATTTTGCCAATGAGCATCTCTTTCATGGGCCTGAAAAGAGCCATTTAGGAAATATTAGCTAAAAAGGCTGCAAGTGCAGGGAAGGGACGAGGGTTCCTGGTTATTTTTTTTTTTTTTTTTCACATGGATGTTTGTATCTTAAGGGGATAAAAGGAATCTGGCTGCTTTTCCAAAGTTGTTTGTGTGCCTGGCATTGTGGGGCTTGAGTTGGGCAGCAGGGTGTCACAGTCCTGGCTGTCAGGTGTGCGTTGGGATGTCCCCGGGCCAGTTTTGGAGTGTTCCCTGCTCTTCCAAGGTTACCTCTTTGTTTGATTATACCTTGTTCTCAGGCTTAAAAATGTGATGGTCTGATGTGTAGTCCCCAGGGGGTAACTATGTTTCTGCTGGTGGAGCACATGGGTTTTGGGTAGAGCCACGTGAAGGTAACAGGGGCTGTTCTGAGAACAGGAAAGCGGCAGCTTGTGGACGTGATTTTACTGTATTTCACTGAGTTTATTGAATGAAAATGGAATTGGGATCATGTGAAGGGATGCAAAAGCAGCATTTACTCCAGAGTCCTTCTATTCCTTACGGGAGGAGAAAGGGAGTTAGCGCTGGCAGAATGGAGTCACTCAGCCATGAACTCCCTTTTAAAAAAGCCATTATCCCATTACATCTCCAGCATGGATCCTCAGCCTGGGATTTTTACTGATTGTCTTAACCTGGTTTTTACCTTCCATAGAATAAATTACATTTTTAAGAAAAGGAGCAGCAATTATTTTTGGAACAAACACCATTAAAAGTGATCAAGAGACCATGCTTTTTATTGCTAGCTAGGGATTTTATTTTTTTTTCGTGCTCCAACATCTGCTGCTTTTTACAGCTCACCTGGTCCAAACATCCCACCGGTCCCTTCCTTTCTGCCCACAGCATCACAAGCCAGCAGCCCCCCTTGTGCTGGATGTGGTGTGGTGGGACTTGTCCCTCCTCTCCCATCCCACCCAGTCCCCATCCTCAGCCACTGGTGACAATAATCTGATGAATAAGATTTTTAATCTTTATTACAGCAGCTGCTTTTAGTATAAACCAAATGTCATCCTCTGTGTACCGAGGTCTGGCCACAGAGGGTTAGACCAAAGATCCCTCAATCCCCTCCCATGCAGTGTTCAGAAGGACATGCCTAGGCAAAGAATAGACAAAATAGGGTAAGTGAATTGTGCCCCAGCCCGTGGTATGGCCACAGCTGGGGCACCAGCAGCTGACTGGTGCCTTCCCCCATGCTCCAAAATATGTCTTCACTGCAAATCACTAAACCAGATGGATCAGAAAATATTGCTTAGATTAGCAAAATGAGCCCCTGGGTTGTGGACCTTCTCTTTGGGCTTCCCTCTTGACATTTAGGAAGGATACTTTGCCCCTAAATCACCCTTGACAAAGTCAGGGGAAAAAAACGGCATTATAAATGGAAAAAATGAGATACAAAACTCCCCAGCAACAAAAGAAGAGAAGAGCTCAACTGTTACTCAGATCAAAGTAATCCTAAATATGCCCTTCTGCATCAAAGCTTCACATCCCTCCTTGCTGCCTGGTTTTGATTGCCTCTGTGCAGAAATTAAAGGAAGTGCAAACGCTTCGTCTGGATTTCCCAGGCTCCCACTATATTAGTGCTGCTCCACTGCCTTCAATGAGTTTATTCTGAATTTCCATCCCTCTGGGGGGCCAGAATCAGGCCCCTGACAGCTCTGCTCCCCAGAAGTATGGAATCACTGCAGACAAGGAGAAATGTCACAGAGAGAGCAATCCACTGCCTGCTTGGGTTCCTGTGGCTGTGACCAGGATCAGGGATCTGCTGCCAGGTCTTTGTTGTTTCTGACTGCTGGATTTTGGATGGTTTTGGGTGCTTTCCACCCCAATTGCTGCGTGCTCAGAGCTGAAAGTGAGGAAAATATTGAATATGCAACCAAATGTGTCCCCTCCTCTCCAAAACCTCATTACATTTTGTGATTGCAGCTCCTTTCCCTTTGCCTATTCCACTTTTTCTCTGTGGTGTGCGGTCCAGCCACTCCCAAACTCTCTCAGCCTGTCCCTGCTGCATATTAAAATTAAATAATCAGGTCCCGAGTGCCTCCATGCAGCTTCCAGCTTGCCTGGAGGTCCACTGCTGCTCACAGAGCGTTTTTCAGCAGTTCCCCCATCCTTATAATAAATCTTTTATAAATCTAAGCCTCTCCCTTACTCTGAGGAGTGCATCAGTCATCTTTTAATGCCAACTGCCTTTCATCCTGCCCTCAGAAGTGCATTAATATCTGAAATTCCTTAAAAAAAAAGCAGCTATTTATCAGCAGCTCTTGTTGCTGTAGGATTGAGTGGCTCCATTCCCACTGCTGCCTGTTAGCACCCAGAATCTCCCCGTGTCCTGGCCCCTGTGGTGGGGGGTATGGGGGGCCTTACCCAGGGAGATTTTCTTCTCCCTCCCCATCTTTATTCATCCCGTCCAGGTGTGTTTTATGAACAAATAGATATGATTTGAGCCACATAATTGATATATCACTTTGAACATAATGCAGGCTTAAACAGCAATCAGCCCGATTGTCAGCACTCGGAGCCTGCCCGGACCTTGCTGGGAAAGCACTGGATGGGGCTTAGGCTAGAAACACTCAGGGTTTATTTCCCAAATATCTTACATTTGGCTCAAATTAACTGAACTGTGCTGTTCCACTAGTGGAAATCTGGAGTAATTCCTTGGAGTTTAGATTTCTGGGGATGTACTTGGCCCCGCACAGAGCAGCCGGGCTGCGGCCCCGCCGAGCCCCAGTGCTTGCCCTTAATCTAACCCACTGAATAGAGAGACATGATGGAAGATCACTTTTTGCCTTTGTTATCTGATTTAGCCCATGAACTGCGAGCTGCAACAATTAGCCAAACCCCAAAATATCTTTGGCATTAAAATTGGACAAAAGGAATATAAAGAAGCATTCTGTGCTGCTGACGCATTACCATTCACTACAAATCCCCTTGATAAATACCAGAACTGCTTTGAATAAGAGATACTTCTGGAAACCTTCCAGCTCACAAAATGAACTGGACCAAGTTGCATCTATTACTCCGTGTCCAGAGGCTGGGGTAGCAATCACTGTTCTCAACACAACTTTGAGCAGACACCCAATTTTTATCCATTTATTTACCTTTGTTAAATCTATGGATAATTAAACTAACTAGGCTGCTTGAAGGGATAACACAACCCCAAGGATGCATGCTCTATTAAATACAGTTTAGAGAGAAGGGAGCAGTTCTGACTCCTTGCCTGCAGCTGGAAAAAGGATGTGAGAACATCCAAGACAACCAAAACCCCACTGGTGTGTGGTGGCGTGGTCTGTGTGTGTGTAGAAGTGGAGGGAAGGATGGATGGCTGGAGGAACAGGGTAAACAGATTTTGCTTTTTTTGTTTGTTTGTTATTCAAACTTTTCTTCTTATTTTCCCAAGATGATTTTTGTTTTCTGAAGGGTTCAGGTTGTCACTGAGGGCTTTGATTAAAACAGACACCACACTAGTTATTCCCCATCACTAATGAGACCCTTGGCTGGTTGCCTATAGGAACAGAAAGTGCTTGCTCCACTCCACTCAATTACCCTAACAAATCCTGTTTTTACAATCCAGACTACTCCAAGTGTGAACAGTTTGGATCCAAATGAATCCCCCCCTCCCTGTTTTTCCAAGATGAAATAAATGAAAGTGCCTCAGTCCCAGAGTGTGGGTGTTCCTGGGGTGTGAGTGGTGATTCCTGCACTGTCCTTCACACCCCTCTACATCCTCATGGCCCTGAACATCTATAGAAGAAGCTTCAAAGAGCCCGTGCAGGCACATTCCCAGGTCTGCCCATCCAAGCCCAGGTGGTAGCAGAGAAATGCGGGTAATGAAAGAGCAAGGATTGGTTTTTATTTATCTGCAAATGCAAAGCGCTGAGGTGACATTGCACACACCAATCTGTGCATTTGTCTTCTGGTGCTTCCATGTGGAAGAGCTGGGAAAGCCCCGGTGGGGTGGGAAGGATGTTGACTTGGCTTTTAGGTGTTGTCCGTGCACAGGGTGCTAATGCTGCAATGTCAGTGGGATTAAAGATCCTGACTTTCCCTCAGAGACCTGTAAATGAGAAGGTGATAAACCCAAGTTACAGGCTGTTGCAGCTGGGATGAGTCTTCCCCTCAGCGTCCACTTTTTGATGTCTTCAGTTGACTTTTTGGCTAAGGCTTTTGCAGTCTGCCCTCCTGACCTGAAACAACCTTGCAGACAGTCTATAGCATAAGTATGCGTGGCTGAGGATGTGCCGTGGTTTCAAGTAGGAATTAATTTGTGGGAATTGGATGGCCCATGTTCATGCAGGTCAGGCTGGCCACGATGTTCCCTTCTGGCTTTATAATCTCACATCTAATCTGTTCATGCTGAATGAGAGGCAGATGCTTGCCATTGTGTTCCTGGACCAAAACTCAGGTCTCAAATGATTTCTTTAGCTTTCCAGAAGTGCACGGACACAGGGCTTGCCCCAGCCAGCAGCAGGAATCCATCCCTTGCTCCTCTTATAACCTCTGACATAAGCAGGCTATATTCTTTTAAAAAACCCCAAACAACTAAAAAAACACACAAAAATACTACAAAAAAACTTTAGAAGGTTCAGGCAAGCATCTGATGAGTATCTGGAGGGACTGAGGCTGATCAGAGCGGGTTATCAGTCCTTTGGGCAAGGGTTTTATTTATCATGTTTGTCCTCTTGGATAACCATGTGCCAGACACAGTTACTGTGTGTGGAGGAAGAAGCAAGACTGAACTGTGAGCTCGGGGGGCTGGCACAGCCCTCATCTGGCTGCCAGAGCTCCTTCCCCTGCCCAGCGGGGTTTTTTTGGGGAGATCATTTTATTTCAGCTTTACTGAGCACTTGGAGATATGTGTTTAGTGAAAAACTGCCCCGAGTCCTTCACTTGGAAGTTTTGGGGGTTTATTGTTTTAACAGTTCTGTGTTTTCCTCCTGGTCTGTATATTTTCCTCCTAGAGCAAAAGGGACCGTATGAAGGCCTGGATACGGGCACGGCTCCCCACCTGCTGCAAAGAGAGAGACTCCTGGTCCATCTACATCTTCGCCCCTCACTCCAGGTAAGGCAGGGCTCTTGGGCAGTGGTGGCATGCTGGGCACGGATGCCCTTGTTACAGTGGCTCATCTGCCCATCTGTCCCAGATGGGTCTCTTTATGTCAGTCCACAAAACTTCCAGCCCTTCCCCTGCCCCAGCGTGAGGTAAGGGTGAGACAATAAATAGCTGCTGGCTGCAGAGGGCCCTGGCATAGGAGTATCCAGTTGAAAACCATAGCCCAGGGCATGGCTGCAGCTTCATCAGGTTCATCCTTTGCTGTGACAGTGATGCCAGCATTCTGCAAGTTTGTCACTTGACAGAGCGTGGGGAGTTTGCAGTGGGGGGAGAGGTGCTTCATTAAGCAGAAATGTCTGAATATGCCCCTGCCACACAACCTGTACCACAGCAAGGGGCAGTCCTTGACCTCCCCAACCTGCCTCTCTGCTGGAATTCTCTGTCCTCCCACTTCCCTTCCTCCCTCTCCCAGAGAAGCCCCTCTCCTTGCCTGCAGGCTCCCGGTTCTGCCCTTCCCAAAGCCTGGCCGTGCCGGGGCCGTCTGTGCTCCGTGCTCCCCCACGCGCTCCTCTGGACATGCACCCACACGCAGTGAGGGTTCCCCATGCTCGAGCCAGAGGGCCCTGGATGGTGTTCAGGTTCATTCATACAAAGATTAGAGAGATTTTCAGAAACAGACTTTGGGAAATGTAATACGGTATTATAAATCCTGGGTCAGTGTACAGCCATCTGTCACAATAAATAGCTTCTGTCCCTTTGTTCTGTGTGCACTCAACCCTCACGGGCTCACTGGGAGCCTTTATTTAAGCTAAACCTGAGCACTGGGAGCCCAGGTAGGGGGCTGAATCCAAACCTGGCTGTGTGTCTGAGTTGTGGGAGCAGCTGCTCCATTCCAAGTGAGCCAAACTCCTCTACGAACATTACCAGGGCTTGAAACTTGTGGCCCAATTCTGCAGCTCGGATCCTTTTCTGTTCCCACCCCTATCTGCCTGCAGCATCCAGCTCTGCCCGGGAGGGGATTGGGAGATTGGAGCTCATCTGCTTTGCAAACGGAGCACCCGATTCCCCTGCCGTGCATCGAGCTGCTGCGTGTCTCCCCAGCCAGTCGAGCATTAATAGCTGGTCTGTGTCTACTCTTCTTTTTTTTTTCTCTTTCTTTCTCGGCAGATTCCGTCTGATGTGCAATAAAATCATCACTCACAAGATGTTTGATCATGTCGTCTTGGTGATCATTTTCCTGAACTGCATTACCATTGCCATGGAACGGCCCAAAATTGAGCCTCACAGTGCCGTGAGTTTCTGAGGTTAAGGTTTTCCTGTGCTCCTCGTGGAGCAAACACCCATGGTTTGGACCCCGCTGCTGTGCACTCGGTCTCACTTTCTTCCTCTTTTTAAAATGGGAAGCTTCCAACACCTCCTGTGTATCCTTTGAATTAGTTACAGCAACTGTACTGGTGCCTACCTAGCCTCATTTCAAAGCACAAGAGCAGAGCTTATGGCCTGCAATGTATCCAATATCCCATTTCTGGAATTATGATCAAGGTTTTAACACATGACATAGCATGACATCTGTCTCAGTTTCCTTCTCTGAGAAACCTTCAAACACTTTTCCTGTCTCAACACAATGTTCGCTTCTTCCATCTGTTCCCCACGGGCACGTATGTGTGGTGCGAAGGGAATGGGGGAAACTGTTCATTTCATACTCTTCTCTCCCCTTTGTGTATCAGCTTTGTTGTGACACCAGAAAAACTGAATTGATACAGGCACTGTAATGCCAACTCCCTGAACCGCTTTGTTTTAGTACGCTACGTAAGGATCCCTGAAACCAGACCCTCACAGACCAACATGCATCAATCAGAGGGGCAGAATCATCCTATTACTCTTTTATTTTAGCATAGATTGGGGCTGAGATGCGCTGGGCTCTTGCTGGTGTATCGCACAAGACTGCTCATATCACAATTGTAAAGAATCCTGGTTTGTTGATGTAGGCGTGTCAGGCTGTTCATTTTTGTGGATCTTCAACTAAGACCTCAAAACTGGAGTCTTGGCTGCTCTGTGCCTATTTTAAGCATTCCCTAGTAGTCCTCCTTACTGTAACAGTTTGCCCAGCAGTCCCTCCCCTAAATCCATTTTTTCTTTCAGTTACCATGCAGTCAAGGTGCATCAACTCACAGCTGCAGGAAGAGGGCAGGGCTCCCTGCCAGCCAATCTAGCAGGGGAAGTCACCCTGCTGCTCCCCAAATGGGCAACCCTGAGAATGTCCCTTTAAATCCCAAATGTTTCTTTGGAGCCCCTTGCTGTGACCTCCGAGAGTCACAAGTCAGCAAGGCTGGCTCTGAAAGGAGCTGTAGTTACACAAGGATGAAGGGAATGGGGTGACGTGTAAGTCAGAGGAGTCCACAGCAAAGAGCTGTAGCACCCAAACCCAATACTTCATACAGGAGAGGAGGAGGAGCTGTGATGTCCACTGGCATTGGGAGAGTGCAGAGAGGAAAGGAGACAGGGACTGGTGTGAGCTTAATCACCATCAGGTTATAACCAAGAGAACCAAAACGAGTCCAGGGCTGAACTGAGCTGGACCATGGTCTGGGAGCAGCAGAGGAGAATGGGGATGCTGAGCAGTGGGGCAGAGGAGCCAGGAGGAGTGCACGGGCCCTGCCTGTGCTGATGGAGCTCTCATCTGGAAGCCGAGAGAGTTAGTTTAGGTTGAGTTGTTTAAAATAATTGTTCTTTGCTTCCCTGAGCTGTGGATTTTCTAACTGCTTCAAGCGAGTTCTCTTTCCCTGTCCCAGTTTCAGCTGGCTTATCAGAACAGGGGATTCTGTTGCTACCCAGCACGCGCTCCCCACTGCAGAGTGCACGACATGGGCCGGGGAGATTATCCTTCGAAATAGCCACGCGCTTGCCAGGGAGGGATGCAATATCCTCAGTCTCTCCTCCACGCTATTGCTGTTTTATCTCCAGCTCCACAAGCAGGTCCCTACTCTCTCCCTCCTGCCCACTGCCTGCCCCTCTATAGCAGTCTTTTGTGTGGCAGTCAGCTGACGGCCAGAGATGTTTCCTATCACAGCTCATACAATCACAGTGCAGGTCTAGGACCTAATTAATTATGGACCTGCTATGGAAACAAGCTGCTGTGTGGTTCCTGAGTCACTTTCAGTAAATCATGATATGGCAAGAGAGAGAGTTGCCAAGGTGTTTTGTCTTGGTTAAATTGCATCTCATTTTCAGTGAGAGATCTGCATCTCTTATGGGACCACTCTGTAGGGAGCAGCAGAAATAAATCCAAAATTGTTATTATCAGAACTGGGGCCAGTTCAGTTGTATGCATACATGCATACACATCATCTTTCCTCCAGCCTCCATCTTCTGCTGTCCATTTCTCAGTATAGGCAATCAGAGGTGGTTCAGGGATTAGGGAAAAGTGTAATTTATTTAATGATCATCATTAAAAAGATAGGTTTCTGCTAACTACAGATAGGGAACCAGTCCATGGTCTCATCTGTAATCACTAGCTGCAATTGCAGAGCAGTGGCAGTGAGGATGGCATGGTCTGGTGGATAGCACAGGGGACTGGGAGATGTGGCTGTTGGGCTTCACGCCAGGTCTAACCCGCGGCTTTGGGCAAGAGAATCAACCTTTTGGGGGCAGATCTCAGCTGGCATAAAGCCCCAGAGCTTTTCTGGCTTCGCTGGAGCTGTGACAACTCAGGCCAGCTGCACTTCTGCATCCCACGGGTCCTGCTGCCTCACAGCTCAGCCACTCTAATATTGACTTAATTTCTGGGAGAATTGGGAGCTCAGTGATATTTACACTGTGCAGTGACGTCTGCAGGTGAGGGGCAGGTAGAGATTTGTCAAGCATGTTTCAAGGGGGAAATATCTCCCTGTTATTGCAGGGGAGGTTGGAATTGGGGGCAAATAGGGGGATTTTGGAGGCGGGTGCCGGCGGCTGTCCCTGTCCATGGTGCTGACACAGAGCTGGGTACTGGCAGGGCTGAACCATGAGAAGTGTTATTGTCTAAATATTTGGATTTTTATCTCTTTGCGAGCAAACAGTCCGAGGCTTGTTTCAGCACAGAAGCTGGAGAACAGTTATCAACTGCCTAAATATGCATGGGGAGATGTACAGCTGCAGAGAGCAGGCTATAAAATACTGTCTCTCATTTTCTTTTTCATAGGAACGGATTTTCCTAACACTCTCCAACTACATCTTTACAGTCATCTTCCTGACTGAGATGACAGTTAAGGTAAATGAATTTGGAGATAAGTGTGCCTGCATTATATTAGCGATCTTTTATTATGGTGGAGTCACAAAACCCCTAGGTCTACCAGCTGTGAGTGAGGTGTATATTTTCCTCATCTGAATCATATTCAAATACCCACCACATGCCTTATTCTGAGCACGTTTTACATCAGAACAATTTCACTGAAGTTCCTCTTGATTTACACCATTATATGAGCAATGGGATCCTTCAATTCAGCAATCCTTCCCTATTCAGCAAAGCTCTTGGAGCACATGCTTAACTTCAACCATGCATGTAAGTCCCATTGTCTTCAACAACCAGTTGTCCTCAACAACCTAAGCCTCTGTGTGCTTTCCTGAGGAGGGAGAGACTTAAGCACGTTGAAGCACTTTGCTGGATTTGAGGCAGGAGGCTCAGAAACCCATTGCTGTAAATCTCTCTTGTGTAATTCATAATCATCTCGCTGAACAATTGCTCTTTCTTTGGAAAGTTTCTCTAGTTTCTTTATTTGCAAAGCTTGTACATGATTGCTTCGGGTCAGCCACTCTGAACCTTCTCCCCTGCAGTCTATAGGAATAAAATGTGATCAAATTTTTTTTGTGCCAGAGCTGAACGTTTTAAGAGCAGTTTTGTGCAGGTAGTTTTATCTGCATTAAAAGTACATCAGCTCTAAGGGACAACCTGGGATGTTTCTGCAGCGGTATTTTCATAATTCTTTCAATAGAACACTTTGCTGGTTTGGCTAATTAGGCTTCTGTACTGGGAAGCAAATGGACTCACAGACTTGTATCTGTAAATAACGCATTCTCAGCAGGTTGCTAAGTGGAACAAACATATTGCATGTGATACTCATAATTTGTTGCAACTTGGTGTCCGGGCAGGTGGTGGCACTAGGCTTGTGTTTTGGGGAGAAAGCCTACTTGAAGAGCAGCTGGAACGTGCTGGATGGGGTGCTGGTTCTCATCTCCGTCATCGACATCCTGGTCTCGATGGTGTCAGACAGCGGCACGAAAATCCTGGGGATGCTGCGGGTGCTGAGACTGCTGAGGACACTGCGGCCCTTGAGGTGAGTAGAGGCTGAGGAAGAGCTCAGAGAGTGCAGGATGTGTGTGCCAAAGAGGGGGGCTGAGCATTTGTGCAAGGGAAGGGGCAGGAGAGACAAGGGCACAGCGTCTGTCACTGGTGTTATTCCAGCCTCCCGCGGCTCCGCAGACAATGAGTGCCTGCAGGTCCTGCGGACCCTCAAGGAGCTCCGGGTCTCGCTGTGTGTTGGGACCAGCCCCAAGTGCAATAGTAAACTGATCAATGCCTCCTTTGCTCATTAAAACACACATCCCCTGCTATTTGTGTTCTCATTTGCTCTGTGTAAAGTGCAGCTTAACAGCTTCTTCTCCCCCTTTCCTTCAGGCAGTCGATGCCTTTTGTAACAAAGAAGGAAATTAGTAGCAGGTGGCAGATCATTTTTAAGGAAGCAGCAACTCAACTGTTGCTTAACCTAGAATGCAAAGAAGGCTTTTTTCCCCAGCTCCCCATTAATTTTACAGAGACATTTATTTTGAAAATGGCCCAGACAGGATGAAAGCCATTGTCCTGCTAAGTTGGTCCCCCATCTCTGCTAGCAGGCAGTATTCCATGCTCCAGGGGCAAGCTCCCCTCTGATAAGAATCTGCCCAAGGACCAGCCTCTTCCAAACAGGCATCTGTTTGTGACCTGTACCCCAAGGCATGAAGGTTTCTCTCCATGCTAAATGCAGTCCCTCTTTAATACCATTGTTGCTGCTCTTGTTATGCAGCAGCTAATAAACCTTCCTGCTCAAAGCATCTTTGTGTGCCTGTCATATCTTACTGCTGCTTCCTTCATAAAAGGTTCGCTTTCAGTCAGGATTTCGTCTTTCAGGACAGAAAAATAGGAGCCTGCTTCAGATAGAAGATGTTGTTTTTACTATTCCCATGTGAATAATAAGTCTAAATAACAATGGCCATGCCTATATGTATATCTTTCAAATGTTCTCGACAGCTATAAAAGACATTCTGTTCAATTGGACTGTGTGTGTTGTGCTTGGTGAGTTTGAGGGCGTGAGATGTTTTTAATCATTTTTATCTAGCACCATTGAGGTGATTCAGCTCCCTCACCATGTGAGTAGACTGTCTTCATATGTGACTCCAATTCTGACTTTTCTCTCTTCATGTGTCCTCTGGTATCTCAAGTCAGCTGCTGTTTCTGGGGTAGTTTCTGCCCAGTCGAGTAGATATGGTTGAGTAGATGTGCTCTGTTCTGCTCTTCTGCTTTGGCTGCTTTTTGACCTTTGTTAAGAAAACCTATAAAATAATCTGTTTAGCTCTGGGTAAAAGAAGGATTGATTTCCTATGTCCATGTGGAATGCAAGCTTCTCTTTTGATGTTTCCTGGTTAAATCGGATCTCGAGGAAGACATTTGGGTTGTGCTGAGCCCTGTTGTAGTCTGACCTGTCTGACCTGGTAAAAGCCCTGTATGCTTCTTTATAGATCTATAGGTCTGCCTGGCCGGGACTTGGGCCTTTTTTAACTGAAGCCTTTCTCTGTAGGCACCTATGTGCGTGAAAAATCTGCAGTTATGGTGAATAATCCACTCAGTAACTGCAGGCAGGAGGAAGACCTGCCATCTGGAGCATGTTCAGGATTAGGCTCTCCCATTGCTATTCCATTCCTGTTGGCATTTGATATGTTTTCTCAAGAGAGTATGTGAATGTTTTCAGCCAACACGCTGCTTTCTACTACAAAGGAAACGTAAAAAAGACAGCAACAAGCCCATTCCCTAAATATGTTCAGAATCAGTTCTGTCTCCCTGTAATTAGATTTGTAGGAAATGAAAAAGCAGCCATCAAACTGGGGGCTTTTCAGTAAGTCATAAATCTCCTCATGTGGAAACCCATCTGCCTCTGTGCTGCACATCTGGGCTGCCCTGAGCCCGCCTCTGCCCACGGCTGCCCGCTCTGCCTTTGCCGCGGGCTGCGGCGACTGGCTCGGGGATCTCACCGTCACTGCCTGGGATGTGCAGCTGCATCAACATGGGATGACAGCTGGGACAGGTGACCTGAGGTCTCTGCACACCGTGGCTCCAGTCCCCGTGTCTGGGTGGAGGCCAAGCCAATGTTTTTCTTTTCTGAGAAGACTCAGGGCAAAGACCAAAGCCAGGGCTCCACTCCCACCACAGAGGAGCAAACCCCTCTCCTTCTGACCTCCCTTTCTGGGGGCACTCAGGGACAGGGCTGCAGTGAGGACACCCTCGGTGAGAAGCCAAGCCACGGCTGTGTGTGTCACACTCAACTGGAGAGCAGGGACAGCCCTCATCGTGTCTGCTTTGGCTTTCCCACTTGACGGTCTGGAAGGGGGATTCTTGCAAAAGACCTCTCTCATTCTGTCTCTGATTTTCTCCCATGGAAAAACCCCATTGCTTTACACAGCACACGAGCCCAGGCATTAAAAAAACTGGCCTGTGTGCCAATCACGGGGTTTTGATTGCATGATTGATTATCAGCCTCCAAATTGAATCCATGAGGATTCGAGCCCAGCTTTATGACCAGAATTCCAAAAATAAATTCACAAAGGAGTGACATTTAAAGATGTTTCCATGACCCTCTGATGTTTCAGCCAATAAAGGGATTGCTTATACAATAACATTCCTTCCTAATGCATTCAACCTGCTGTTGTTGGGATCAAGTGTTGTAGCTTAAGATACAAGAGAAGTCAAAATTGAAAATGTATTCAGATTTAATGTGGGTGGATGTCAGTGCTGTTTTACTCTCTACGGAGCCTGGGCTTTGACTCCCAAAGCAGAGAGATAAATTATTCACTTTTCATACCATCATGGTATCAAATAGTCATTTCATAGACTCTCTTCTATCCATCATATTATAACCTTTGCTAATTTTTTTTTTGTCTGTGGAGGGAGGTCTTCATTATCATTGATCTGTTGCTTCATCTAAGTGCTACTTCTTCTTCTGAGTGCTCTGATCAGGCTAGCAGGCTTAACTTTGGTAACGGATCCAGCTGGGATGAGGCTGGTGGTGGGTTTGGAGCATCTCACACCAGAGGTTTAACAGCACTGGGAATGCTGAGACCAGCAAAACCAGGGGGAACTTGGGGGATTAACATTTATTCACACCGAAAAGGAAAAAGAAGGTGTCATTTTAATTTCCCCATTTGTCATATGCCTAATGCAGACTGGAATTGTGCTGGGTGGAACCTCAGCAGGCCTATGACTCTGGCACAACCGGAGGGCTCCGAATCAGCCGCATCCTTCAGCGATCAATTGCAGGAGTGGGGGTCAGATAATAGGAGTTTACAAGCCTGATATCAGCAGGACCTTGGGCAGAACTGATGAGGTGTGGGGATGCTGTGTGCTGACATATTGGACGTGGTGCTAATCATCTGGAAAAACTGAGAATTTCATTGGCACCTCTTAGGGAGTTATCAGACTCTCAGGAGAGTGGCAGGAGTCTTTGTACAGACTTGCCCTGATGTTGGATCAGGCTCTTAGTCTCTCCAAGGTCTGAAGGTTTCCATTAGTAAGAACTATTATTTTTCAAAATCTTTTCAAAGTCTTTTTTCCCTGAAGGGCTGAAAACAGCACTGGCATGGAGCTAAACTGGTGGCAGCTTCTACCCTAATGCATTCTCATTTGAGGAATTCCCTGGTTGATCAAAACACTGAAAGAAGCCAAAAGCTGCAGTTTTTCAGCCCTTTTTTTCTCAACACACACGACTTTGCAAAGTCAGACAAGTAACCTGCTATTTTCTCTCTCTCAGCTGGATACCAAATAGTATCTCACAGGGGAAATCACTTTATTATTTCTAGAACAGCATTTCTTAATAAGTGGTAGAGAAAATTATCAACTTTAAACTCTGGAGGCTAAATTTCTTACTTGTTCCCCAAAATTTAAGGATGCTCCAGTAGTTTAGACATAGACCTTCAGTTTAGAGAACTCAACCTCTGTTCCATCCTATGTGACAGTGGACAGAATACATAAGCCAGCATCACTAAAGGCTCCGAAGTACCTAATTCCCATTGAAATCATTGGAATTTGGTTGTGTACCTCTGAGAACAAGTCCTGCAGTCCTCTCCCTCAGTTTCCTATCTGTAGTTTGGCAGCTGAAGTATTTCACCCAGGACTGTGTGAGGGGTGGCGAGGTCTTTAGTCCATCTGAGGTTCAGCCTCAGTCTGTCCAGCCCAAGGCTTGCTGTGTGCACTCAGACACGGCCCCTTGGGCTGCATTAACCAGCTCGTTGAGTCGAGCACACTGACCTGCTGCTCTGCAGCTCCTCTGCTTGTTGGTCTCACCTCGGCTCTCAGCCCTGGTGCAGGTACAATGTGGCAGCAACAACCACCCCACCCTCCAGCTCATTCCCTAAAACATCCAGATCTGAACATCAGGAAAGCTGAGGTTGTCCAAAATAGAGAGCCACAGCACTTACCTGGCAGAGATGCCCAGCATGAGGAATAGCAGCATCTGCTCTTTGTGTTTCGCTGGTGAGGAAGTGGATAAAAATACCACCATCTGTTTCTTTCTTAAAATGGTAACTGATGAGTTACCCTTGACATTTTGAGTAAATATTTAACCAGAAAAAAAGAAAAATAAGTTTTAGCTTTTCAGGATACCGTTTAAAGCCAACAGTTTTGGTAAGAGCTGGTGCCTGTGCACTGAGCACTGCAGTTTGCTCAACCTGCAGGCTCTGGGGCAAGAGAGGGCTGATGCAGGTTGGCTGTGGTCCCAGCTGAGGTCACCCATGCCGGGCATGTGGATGTGCCCATGGGGACCTCTGCTGGGAGCACCACGCCCGGGAAGTGGGGAGAGAAGGACCACTTGGATCCTGTCCAGGCAACAAAACTCCAACTGTGCTTCAGGTGATGGAGCCAGACTTGGGGAGAAGTGGGAGAAGTGGTGAGAGGATTCCCATGGCAAGTGAGACCCAGGCAGAAACAAGAAGGTGAGGGAGTTTGTGGCATGTTTGAGTGCCAAGTGTTCAAAGGAGTCACCAGCCAGCACCCAAAAGCACACAGGCACTTCCCTCCCCTGACTTCCACAGCAAACAGCCACTTCTGCCTCAGGAAAGCACAGTTTCTATGGCATCAGTACAAATTGATTTACAGCGCTATTGAAATGCTTAATTCCAGTTGGCATCAAGAGGAAGGAGGCATGTAACCTCTTCAGGTGCCTTTCTTGGTCCCCACCTTCAGGTCGGTTAGTCTGAATACCTCATTCATCTTTCCCAGCGTGGTGAGATGGCTTCTCTAAATCACACAAGACTTGTCCTTTCATTGCAACGTTGTCCTTGAGAGTATAGTACGGTTTCTGCTTTTTTCTTTCTCCACCTGCTTCAGTCATGAAGTCCACATTATTCTTCCCCAACCTTCCGATATGATCTAATCTTCTGTTATGAAATTCTGTGTGACACCAGCCAGAGAGGAGCTACAGAAATTAGGTTAGATGCTTGTGGTCCTGTCAGTGAAGTTTCACCTTGAGGACAGCTCTGGTTCATAGCTGAGGCTGTACAGTGGGTATAAGGCAGAGATTGATGGTCTGGGGGTAGCTCAGGTCTCTGTACACAGCAGCACTATAAGGACATATACAGGTTGGTTTTTTTAAGATGAAAGTGGTGGAACACTGGCATAGCATCCCCCAGAGACATGGTAGATGCCCCATTCCTGGAAATATTCAAGGTCAGGCTGAACAGGGCTCTGAGCAACTTGATCTAGTGGAAGGTGTCCCTGCTCATTGCAGGGGGTTGGACTAGATGGCCTTTAAATGTCACTTCCAGCTCAAACCATTCTATGATTCTGTAATCACTACAGATGTGCAGACAGATGTGTAAGAGTGGTGCTCCATTTCACAGACTGAGACAGGGAAATCAAGAGCCTTGCCTAAATCTATGCAGAAAGGGACACTAGGAGGCCCTCTCTTTGCAGTCTTGGACAGGCTACAAGCATAAAAGTCTGTGTCTGTGGATGGCCCAAACAAAAGAGCTGAATTTTCTGGCCTGGCTCCTTATACGTGTTCTCCTCCTTCTGCTCTTCATTTATGCAAAGCTGTGTGTGTGTAGGCAGAGACCTTTTCCCTCCAACACTTCCATGATATCACAGGTCAGTCTTCCAGAACTGCTTTTTCCATCATGATTTTTGAGTTATTTGTCATTCTAAAAAAAAATTCATAGTGCTGTGTTCTCCCTATTCTAGCTTGATAGGAGGCAGAACTGGGCAGGAACAGGACTAACAGCTTTTGTGCTTACTTGTCCCTACAGAGTCATTAGTCGAGCCCAAGGACTGAAGCTGGTGGTGGAGACTCTCATGTCATCCTTGAAGCCCATTGGAAACATTGTGGTCATCTGCTGTGCCTTTTTCATAATCTTTGGGATCCTGGGAGTTCAGGTGAGTCCCCTGTGAGCCTCAGCACCCAACCTGAAAGCATAATGACCCCCAGATGCCCCCACATCTGGATATCTGTACCAGTGGGCACAGTATAAGTCTTTCTGAACTGAAACTGAGGTCAGTTGGACTGAGTGTCTGCTCATTGCAGAGGGCTGGACTAGATGACCTTTAAAGACCCCTTCCAACCCAACTCATTCTGTGATTCTACAATTTCCTCTCCACTTTTCTTCTAGTTATAAACCAATGGGGAAATACAAACTCAAAGCTGAAACTGTTGGCTTGTAAACTCCAGAGAGACCTTGCCCTGGAGATTCATTCAGATTCTGACAGTTTGTGTAACTGAAAGCTTGCAGAGATAGAGATTTCTGAGTCTTTTTCCTGCCTGCTCTGCTGGCAATATCCTCAGTCCCAGGAGTGCAGGAACCCGGGGGAAAAGTGGCAGTTTCCAATGCAATTGGTTTCTCATTACCTGGGAAGAAGAGATTGCTTCATATAAATATTCTGACATAACACTTACTTCTTTCTGAAGTTTATCTGATCTGTCACAGCCAGCTTTGGAAAGCAACTCTGTTTGGCTTTGTTTTGGAAAGGTGTCTTATGTAATATTTTACACTAATATACTGTTTAAATAATAAATACAGCATTGAAAATAAACAGAGAAGAAAATCATGCCATCCATAACCACCTCAGCAGCTAGATTGGCTTGGCACAGTGTAACAGCATCCATCCATTTTACTAAACAGATTCATAAAGCTAAGCACATCCCGTAAAACAATATAAGACTCAGACATGGGAAAATTTATGCCAAACAACAAAACTTGCAGTATGCTCTTTGAATTTCCTCCCTGCTAATTGCAGTGCTTTCCCTGGTGACTTGCAGTCTTATGTTAAATTGTCATGACTATTGATGTGCTTCGGTGGTAGATACAAGCAAGAGTGATCCTGTATTCAGAATGCAAAATTTGCAGTTAATATTTATGTCTAATTAGGTGTAAGATGAGGCCGTAGCTGTTTTCTATAAAAAGATGATATCTCAAAGTTACAGATAGTTTTTCCATTTAAATATAAGCTGGGGATCAAACTAGAGGTTTTTAACGCTATTAAAATCCAGACATTGGTGTTTATAACAGTGTGTCCTCTTAGCAAGACTGTTTTGGTTGTAGAGCTGCCCACAGGTGAATAGTCATTAATCAGACACAAGAAATAGGTGGATATAACAAGTCCAGTAGGAAACACTGGGTCTTTTCCTTTTGGAATTGCTAAATCGTGAAGCACTGACGGGGATCAGCATTTTTGGATGCTGTGCTTTGTATTTCCAAACCCTGTCAGTAGCCCTGTTACTGCTCCCATCTGAGTGGCATTGCAGCCCAGCTCCTGGAGAAGTTATATTTACAGATACTATGTTAAAAACAGTTGTTTACCTTCCTGCTTAATTAAAACTTTTCTCTGTGAAGACTATATCTCCCCAGTCTGCCTTACCACGGATAGTGTTTCTCCATGGAAAGATCAGGGAATACTTCTCTTCTTGCATCCAGAGGTTTTATGATTGCGTTGAGCGGTGATTAATTTTGCATGCCTAGAGACCATCCTTCTGCTGTTGATTTCAGAAGGAAACCCATGGAGTAATGCGTGGGTTTATCTTGTTCGCTATTATTTCTACTGATATTTGTCTAGAAAAACAGATCAAACCCCATCAGTGTCTCTTCTCTGTATACCCAGGTGGTGTTTTAAGGAGCCTGGAGAGCAGGTTGCCATTTCCCCTCCACCCCCCAACAGTAATGTCAATAGCTTCTGTCAGCAAATAAAACTAGATTTGTTGGCTGTCTCCTGGGCTTTGATACCATCTATCCTGCTAGCATCAATCACCCTGTCTGAAGCAGTAATCATCCCCTGCCACTCTCTGTTCTGAGCACAGGAAGCACCAGGTCTAGAATTAGGCATGTGGAGGCTCCTGTTCCTTGTGCAGGTATAAATCAGGAGCTGACTCCCCAGGAGTTGTGTCTTTCCTGGCTTAAACCAAAGGAAATAAGCTCAGGATCAGATACCCAGCACAGATTGGGCTTGGCTCCTTAAGCTCTGCACAAGGAATATTTTCAGTGACCCCTGCAAGGACGGCAGAGCCTTATGACAGCTGGAGCACAGCATCCAGGATCAGAGAGTGGAGCGGGACTGGCAGAAGTCTTGATTCAACAAGAGCCCGACGTCACCCTCAGGGGCTCATCTCCTCTCTGAAGTGTTCCCTGGTGACCTCTAAGAGCAGAGCTTAGTTCCTCACTGGGCCTTTTCAGTGCCACTTCTGCTCTGCTGGCACAGGGCCCCTGTTACACTTCATTTGTCATTAGCTGAGCTGAGCGTCACCGGAATTGTTCCACGGGTGGTAACAAGCCATTAGCTGGTCTGGGCTATTAGTTGGGGCTACACTTGAGCTGGCAACCCAGAAGCAAAGGCCTTTAGGCCAGTCTCAGATCACTGAACCAGACAACCTAATGCATGAGGTGGGTGTCCTAAATGATGTGAAATCATGCATTTGCTCATTAAGTGCATATTATACAGGCTGCTCATTCTTAATAACCTGCATGAATGAGGCCAGTTCCCTTAACAGCTCTGGCTGGCGTGGGCTGTGTGGAGAACCCCAGAGAAATGCCCATCATCTGTGGAGAAATCCTGTGGACTGAACCCTGACATTTCCTCTCTTCTTTGAATGTTTTCCAGCTTTTCAAAGGCAAGTTTTTTGTCTGCCAGGGGGAGGACACCAGAAACATCACAAACAAATCGGATTGTACAGAAGCAAGCTACAAATGGGTCCGGCACAAGTATAATTTTGATAATCTCGGCCAGGTATTAATAGAACGGTAATCTGCTTCTTTGCTCCTTTACCTCCTTGGCTTTAAACCTGTGCATTATTATCCCATGGGATTTTCTTACAGGGCACTGCCAGTCGCAGTAAATATTCAGTTCACATACACAGCATTCTGTCCCTGTAAATCCCAAAGGCAGTGTTTCCAAGCAGGCATACACTTCTTTTCGGAACAGAACAAGCACATGTGGCTTCGTGGAGTACTTAATTGCTTCACTGCTACATAACAAACCAAATATATCTTGCAGAAGGGCTTGTCTAATAGAGCTGGACATTTTCAACCATCTCTGCAACGCAGCCTTATTTTAGCAGCATGGTAAGGACTAATTAGTCAGGATCAGTAGAGACCTGGAGGGTGGAAATGAAGCTGCTTTTGTCTTCAGCACTGTGGTTTCCGAATTACCGCCCATTGCTGAACTGGCTGCTGGCATTGATAGGTTTTTGCTGTCAAGAGAAATCTTGGTCATCAAAGTGTCCCATTATCAGACAGGTAATGACAATCCTAGGCAGGAAAGGGCAAAGAGGAGTAAGATGTTACAAGTAAAAGAGCTTTACTGCAACTGTGCCTAACTTTTTTTTCCGTGCATTTCTAGGCCCTGATGTCTCTCTTTGTTCTGGCCTCCAAGGATGGGTGGGTGGATATCATGTACGATGGCTTGGATGCTGTGGGAGTCGACCAGCAGGTATGGGCTCTAGCAGAGCTGGAAGAAATGACTTGTCAAAGGTCACACATTTCAGCTCTTGTTTTGCCAAGTACTGTTGGCTTCCACGGTCAAGTGGGGTTACAGGGGTAGGATCGAGGGAGGCGTTTAATCCAAGTTCTGGTACGTGACAAGGAGTCCAGTGAAAAGTCTGGATTTGTAGTCAACCTTTTCCCTACAGATTTTGCAACACAACTGGTGTAACTCATGTTAGGAGAACTGCACTTATCAAAGAGTGGTTTGACTTTTTAAGCCATTTCATCATTTCAGGAGAAAATAAATGCTTTGTGTAGGTACAGGCTTTCAGTGAGGGACTCACAATAGCTGCAAAGGATGCTGCAGAACAGAGGTGGTGCTTCTGTCCTCGACACACTTTGTATTTTGGGAGCGTTTGGTTAAAATGTCTCAGAAGTCTCTAATTTTTGGGAAGAGCAGAGCACCCTGAGCTGCCTGAAAGGGGCACCCACGGGTTCTGCGGGTGGCACAGTTGTATCGATTTGCTCCCGTTCTTTTTTTTGAGTTTCATTTGAAATTTGCCTTCTTCCACTTTGCAGCCAGTCATGAACTACAACCCATGGATGCTCCTCTACTTCATTTCCTTCTTGCTGATCGTGGCCTTCTTCGTCCTCAACATGTTCGTGGGGGTTGTGGTGGAGAATTTCCACAAGTGTCGGCAGCACCAGGAGGAAGAAGAAGCCAAGAGGCGGGAGGAGAAGAGGCTGCGCCGGCTGGAGAAAAAGAGAAGGAGTAAGGAGAAACAGATGGCTGGTCGGTAGTCTTTCCACATCTTTCTGAGTCCTGCTTGACCTTCCACACAATCCCCTCCTCCCTCCCCTCCCTGCCTCGTGTCTGGTGATCATTCTTCTCCCAAAAGCATGTCCAGCTATAAAATTTGCATGAAGGAAATAGTGTCGTTTTAGGCTGAGCAAGGAGCCATGGAAGCCTTTTTAATGGCTGCATGATTTGCAATGACCTTTCCTTTGGAGGTTATTTAAATTAAAATATAATAATAATCACACCTGGAGCTTCTTGGATAGCAGAGCTCAGTGTTACACAAATAGTGACAACTGCAAAGATCAGCAGTGCTGGATGGCACCATAAATCTTCTGAGTCATGAGCACTGTTGCTGATAACTGGATTCACTATTTGGTTTATTACAGCCTTGTAATGCCACAGTGATGTTACCTGTCCCATTTATCAAGCAGGTTTATTTATTGGCACAGTAGCACCACTGCTATTCAAGAGTGTAATAAAATAATGGAGCCATCTCATTCTAGTAATGCTTTAAAACTCCTTAGAGAAACATATCAATGCATTTGCTTGAGAAATACAGATTAGAAAAAAAAAAACAGATGAGGAGAGTAACTAACTAGACAAAATAGCACTGGTGCAAATTGAACCCAACTCTGAACTGGACGTGGAACGTGCAGCCCTGCATAGAGGAGGCTCTACAGGTGAAAGGAGGAAAGACCTCCACTCTGCCAAAAGTCTCCAACCTGACACTTGTCTCTTAGTCTCTTTTTGTTTTAATGTAGTTATTCAAGTAGGAAATAAGTTAGCCAGAGGCCACAGGTCGGAGGTGCTCTTTTTCTTGCATGCTCTCTCTTCTGACTGAACTTCCTCCATTGCCCTTTGTGTTCGTGGCCTCGCATTTTCCCTTCCTGGTCAATCCGCCTGCTGCTCTCTCCCTGTCCCCTTTCACATCTCTTCTCTATCTTTGACAGACTTCAGTACTGTTTAAGAGGCTGCCTGATCAGGTGCTTGTTCCCAAAGCTGGTAATATTAAGTCTGTTTTATTTTTTAGTAGCCTAAGAGGTGTTCAGTAGCTGTGACAGGCTTAATCATGCAACCACGTACCACAGCGCTGCCTTGGCCTCTCTCAGTTCAGCACTTATCCAGCAATTTCCTTTGGTCACATCCTTCAGTCCCATGAGCTTCACAGGTTTTGTAACCACTAGGATGTGTCACACAGCCTGTGGACATCAAACTTGGGTTTATGGTGAGAGCCTGGCTTCCTCACTGGTCAGTGGAAAGATGGAGGCTTCCCTCAAGAGTGGTGGAGGACACATTAGACAGTTCTCAGTTAAGAAGGATACAGATGGAAAAGAGCCCTTTTTTTAATTGGTTGGGATTTTTTCCCCATCAAGAAAATGCCTAGAAAGCTCTTTCCATTAGTCAAAGTTCCCAAACTTAGCTTCAGGCTGATGAGTTAGAAAAGGTTTTTAAAGGCTGGATAGAAAGATCCCTATTTAAAGTTGCAGTTTTGGAAAGTAGACATTTCTGTAGAAGAAAAATAAATGTTTAGTTATTATTAATGACTTTATTTATAAGACTAGAGGAACTAGATGGAAAAAAGACGTAAGCCTGGGCAATTTCCCAGCGGGAAGGAATCACAAACCATCCTTGGAGATACAGTTATTCATTCAGTGCTATGAAATGCCTAATTAAAGAGGCAATAAACAGCTATTTTACTGAGGATCAAATATTGCTGAGTATTCAATTGCCATAAAAACCTTTCAAGAGCAAAGTATGAAGTCCTCCAAATCGCTTTAGAACAGTTTTCCCAATTCGCATTTGGTGAAACGTTGGTTTTAATTGACCGTGTCCAGCTTTGCCCTCGGAGGCAACAGATGTCATTGCTTAACTTCATTCTGCACAGTGGGAACTTGCAGATGATACCAAGACTAAGGCTGTGATTGTGCCAGCAACTGCATGGGGGTTCCTTTCAGCTGGGCTTCCTGTGTGACCTCGGATGCCCAAACCAAACTGTGGATGCCAGATATGGACCGACATAGACATCTGACTGGTGGCATGGTCATTTTTGGTTGTAGACTCTTCCAATGCATTTATCCAATCAGATACCGGAAAACCAGAAAAGAGATCTCAGCTCATGAGAAGTGGGCAGGTGCAGGGGTGCTCGCTGTAAGTTGTGCTGTTCCAGCAGAATGTGAACTAGGTCGTCCTTCAGAAGTGTCTGCTCCATCATCATCAAATGAGGGGGTTCTCAGGGATCTCTTGGGCTTCCACCTGTGCACGTGGCAGAAGCACAAGAGCACTTCCTTTTTCACGTGTAGCTGAGCCCACCCTCCACGAAGCACAAGGAGAGGATCCCGCAAGGAAACAATCCTGGTAGAGGCAACGGAGAGCCTGAGAGCCGTAGGGACCTCCGAAGGGGATGGGAAGTCTTGCCGTGTGTCCTGCCGGGTGATTAATGCCATTTCGTTCTTTTAGATCTAATGCTGGATGATGTATTAATGGAGAGCTCAGCCAGTGCAGTGCAAGGTACTGGGAAGCCGGCACGTCTCGTCCCATTGAATGGCAGTGCTGTGTCACTAACGGCTCGCCACCGCGCTGTGAGGCATCCCACTAAACCGTGTGTGTGGTGCAAAGCTCGTTCGCTTACTTCATGGCACACGCATCCCATCCTGAGCTGCAGGTCTCTGCAGACCTAGCTCAAGACTGACACTTTCAAACCCTTAATTTACTCTTCAGTCATGTTATGTTATTCGGTATTATTTTTTTTCCTGGTTTTCATTAAGACACTGTCAGATTTTCATGACTTTTTTTTTTCTCCTTTTTTTTTTTTTTGTTTATTTGTTCTTTTAGAGTTTTTTTTCCTTAGAGAATAATGACTGGACTGTGAAATGGGTCCTTTCTGTTGACTTTAGCTTTCCAACCACCAGCTTAGGAGCCTGAATAATTTGCAAGCGTGTCTCTGGAAGGCAGGCAGTTGTCCTTAGAGAGGATATTTCCTTATTTCTTCAGCCTTTGCTCATTGCTCTGCAAACACTGTGCTTCAGGGAGGCACAGTATTTTTTTCCAGCAGGGTAAAATTCAATATAGTGCAGAGCCTCAGTGTTTTAATGGGGAGCTCAACCCCACACCAACCCTCAGCATGGACACGGAGTTTAGTCATTGTGCTGCTCAGCTTGTAAATTCTGTGTATTGATTGAGAGTTGCTCGATCCATGAGGCATCTTGTAAATTAAAAGAAATAAAGATGCCACCTTAAAGCCTTTCCAGGTCCTGATGGGGATGGACCATCTGGGCTGAACACTGCTGGGGTTTGATCTGCCCCCCACCCACCGCTCTCTCATGTCTCCCTTTCCCAGCCCCCCTTCCCAGGACGATGCTCAGGACTGCAAATCTGTCCCTTGCTCTTTTTATTTTTAGGAGAAGCTTTGATCTGGCAAGCATTTTGTTTAATTCATAACTTAAGAATATTAGCCTGAATAATTAAAGAGGTGACAACATAGAAACAAATATAGCTGTAATTTTCGACAAAAATAATATGCTAGGAAAATTGTGCCATTAAAACTCTCACCTGTGCACAAGCTCCCACTGCTTGCGATGGGAGCAGGGCTCCATCCATCTCTCGCAGATTGCAGGGAGTTTTGATTAAATAAAAATTGCAAGGTGAGGGCTATTGGCTTTCACTGCAGAGATAACTCAAGGAGACAGAGGTTCTACCTTATATTTCTAGGCCTTGTTGGAAGTTATCACAACATGCTTTAATAAATCCTGAATCTCCTTCCCATTGCCGTTCCTGATATTTTTATTTCTTTGCTGTCTTTCTTGCTGCTCTTGCTGGGCCTCCTGGCCTCTCTGTGAAATGGGGGCAGCGCAAGGGGGGGCTCTCACCGACTTTGGGACTCTGGTTATTTTTTCTTCTTTTTATTTGATTGTGACTCCTCTCCTGGTCCAACAGAGTTACATCAAGGCTGTCTTATTTTGTGTTATTTTTAAGGCACTGAACTCATTCCAAACCCCTCTGTTATCCCGTGCAGGCTCAGAAAGACTCTTAGAGTTCGCCTTTAAAACGTACAATTGTCAGGTCTGTGCTTTGTGTTTCCTTTTGTTGTCTTTTCTTTGGATCCAGTGGTAGTGAATGTGCCATGCCGCTCCTCAGGCACCAGAGTGAGGGAACAGAAAGGTTTTATATTTGAACCTGACTGTTGGGAATTTAGGGAATCAGTCCCAGGTGCTGTAGCCGAACCTCCTGCGGTTCAGTGAGGAATCTGGAGTTGTGACTCAAAGCTTCCCCACATCTCTGCACTTCCAGAGGCTTCTCTTCTCTTTCTATAAAGACAAAATGGAATTGTGTGTGTGCGTGTGTGTGTGTGTGCGTGTGCTGCTGCTGCCTGGTACTTAGTGAGATATTTTATAATTTAATTTTTTCCTTTTTTCCCCCCTCCAAGTCTACATTCTATCACAACCGGAATCTTCTCAGTGGAAATAATTTATCATTTTCCATTTCGCTTTTTTTTTTTTAATAAATCCATTCAGTACAATAAAAGCCAAGTAAAACTCTGTGTTTAAATCTAAAAAAGTTCCTTCAGTGCAAACTACTTTTTAACCTAATAATATTCTTGATACAGTTTGTAAATCCAGCTGCGTCACGGGCTCATTGCTCCCTGGTTTGCTGCTGTCCTCCAGATATACTCAGACCTGCAAAGTGGTTAATTCCCTTATTATAGGAGAAGGAAGAAGCTGAAGGAGACAGTAATGGAATTGTCCCACTCTCGTGAATTCCAATTTCCTGTGCCCACACACCTCCGGCTCGAAGCCACCTCAGGGAAAGTGGCAATTTCTCTCTTGACAGGGCTATATTGGGAGGCAGACGCTACCCAGAGATATTTTGGAGCTGCATGCCCAGCCTGATTCCCCCCAAGAAAATGCAGTTAACGGGAAGAAAGTGGCCCCAGTCCCACTTCTTGCTGTGCTGGCAGAGATGGCCAAGCCCTGGGATACTCTGGGAGCTGGCAGAGGCACTGCCCGGGAGAAACAAGGGTGCCTGTGGTGTTGCTCTGCTGGGCACTGGTGTCATTTCACAGGTGACATCCCACAGCCATCAGACAAACAGCAGCATGGGGTTTAATGCCTCAAACCCAGGCTGGGATCACTGAACCCCGGGGGCACCCGGCCTGGGAGAAGTTAGACAGGAATTAGGAATGGGAAATGTTTATATCCTGCAACAGCAATGGTCATTTCCTTTCCTAAAGGGCAGGAGAGGACTTATGATGAGTTTGGGTACCCCATGACATAGGCTGGGGCTGCCATGCTCTGACTCCCAACCCTCATCAAGGGCATCAGTAATCCTGCAGGATGATGCCAAGAGTTGAACACAGCTTGGGAAACAATCTGAGTTGAGAACTCAGAGAAATGATGAGCTAAAGCCAAGTGTCCTCCGTGCCAGGCACTGCTCCCCTTCCCAGCACAGTCAGTCCCCTTGGACCACCATCATCCAGGATGGAGGGGCAGGTGGGACTAACCCAGGCCAGCTCCCAAACAGCTGCAACATCCTTTTCGTTAAGAAGAGATTGCTCAGGATCCGCTGTCTGAGCTAAGTTTATCCTGTGTAATGATCTCCAGATTTGACCCACTTCTCCCTCTCCCCTGGCCTCCAGCCACTGTGAAGCAGCTTGATTTACACCCTGTTTACCAGCCTGATGTCTCGTAGTGGGCTTTTGCTGTATTTCCCCATCTTTTCTCATTCTGCCAATTCTTTGTTGGTTTGCTCTCCTCCTCCTTTCTTTAACACCATGTGTGCCGGGAAGCCACGTTAACCTTTCCAGTAATAACCGAGACTAACCCAGAGCTCTTGTTGTTCTTGACACAGTGTATTGTAACAGTACAGTAATGTGGTGTTGTGTTAGTTGTGAAGTTCACCACCCGGAGTTTAACAGATGTCTGTATTTCCCAAGATGTTGGTATTGTTCAGCTCTTTATTGCAATAACTAAGAATGCCACTGTGTGTTAGGGGGCACGGGCTTTGCACCGGCATAACTACGTCGGAGCTGTACCCAAATTCTTTGCAGAACTGCACAGGTTGGGTTAAAAAAATGGTGGTTTTACAATGCTAAAAAGTGGTTTATCTGTTCAGAAAGTCCCCTGCCCACCTAGGCACAGTGGGGGGTTTAGCCCTGGTCCTCGGGCAGCATGTCAGCCCGTGTGTGGGTCATCCCGCGGTAGCATCCGAACTGCACTGAGATGCATGGCCGGCATGGGGAGACCGGGAAATCATGGTGGCATGATTTATAAACAGGGTTGGCAAATCCCCTCTTAACAAAGTTAATGGGGAAGCGTGAAACATTTACTACTGGTAATTTTGGAAGGCTGCAAGGGCACCTGCGAAAGCAGCATCCAGGGACATTTGGTTGTGGAAAGCTGCGGGTATGAGCTGGGAGAGGTGGAAAGGAAGCTTGGGAGAAGGGGGTGCTGGGAGGGGGAAGCCTTTGCAGATATCTGAACAATTAGCAACCCTGCTTATAAGGTCATGCACTGACTAATCCAGGTGCAGGAGCCCTGCACAGGAGACATTTACAACCTCTTTCTAAATCCTTTCTCTGTTCTAACCACATCGGTGCTATTCTGTAGGATTTGGAATTACCTGTCAGTCAAAGCTGAGAAAAAAAATTGAATTCCAGTGTAATTATTCATAAGTAAATCCATTGCAGGAAAAGGTAGAAACACTGACATTTTTCTTTTTGAATGTGAATTATACAGAAATGCAGAAGAAGTAAGTGATCCAATTACGATGGTGTTTCTTTCTGAAATGATAAGTTGGTTCATAAAAATAGGTCCTATTCCTAACCTAATTGTATTCAAACATTTTAGTTAATTTGCTACTCATAATTTAGCATAATGTGATCGAGATATCTTGACTTTATGGAGATTTATGCAGATTCTGAGATATCTGACAAAGTCTTATGAGTGAGTCAGCAGCTACCAGTCTGCTTTTTTTTCATGAGCACTCAATAGATTCAGTATGAAAATTAATTTTACAGACCTTTTCATCAATACTGTGCTTTAGCACTCAGGTGCAGATCACCTAAAGCCCACTGCAGATCAGAAAGTGAATATTAATACTGCCTTTCATTTGATGACACTGAAAAGAATTTTGGGCCTTCCAAACCCCTACAGAATAAAACTGCTGAGTGATTTTTCTCTCTGGTCCCTGGGCTGGAAGGGAAAGGTCTGTCTCTATGGAAAAACAAAACTATTTTTCAGGATCCTGTTATGGAGCAGGGAGCACATGAAACCATTAAATCTATGGGTTCAATTGCAATGTCATTGGCTATTGACAAAGTGAACTCTATTTCCAGGCAAAATTTAATCTTCTAAAATTAGTTTTCCCCGAGGGCAACCCAAACTTGTGCTTCCTGGCTTTATCCTGCCCAACTTTTTTTCTTGAAATAATGTATCAAAATGTACATTTGTTCAGCAGCACCAAATATCAACCATGTAATTCTTACAGCTCAATAATTTTCACAACCAGTTGATCATCTAATTATGAAAGTAATATTATACTCGACATATTCAAGACAGTCCTTTCCACTTCAATCTGCATTATAATGCCTCCTTGAAAATTGTACTGAATTATATACTCAGCCTTGGCATTTCCTCATTAGAGATTAGGTGAGTAAATGAGTTTATCTCTAGGAACATTCGGGGTCTAAAGAGCATGTGTCATCCCCGAGGCAGCCAAACATGGGAATGAATTGAACAGTGAAATATGTACTTTGATAATCTTGTCTAAGTGGAGAATCGTTATTTTCTGATCACTAGGGCTGACTGATCAACTTTCCTTGGTATTTTTATGGACCATTTTTCAGGGCTTTGACAGCCAAAGTGTTTAATTTTCTTCTCTTTATAGTTTACTGGAAAGAACATAATATGCCTGAGCTCCTTCCCTTTCAAAGACCACCGCCAACTCAATGGCCCGTGTTTTTAAGGCATTGTTAGTAAAATCTATCCCCAGCATCTGGCCGCTAATTGGGTTTTCAGATACTTTGGGGACTTTTACTATAGCAGAAGCAAAAATTGTTGTTTTAATTTAGGTTTAACTTAAGTTTCCCTATAGAGAAAAGTGTTCTTTAGCAGCACCAGCTCACCTCATCCCTGATGCCACAAGGCTGAGTATAGCGCATGTCCCACTGAAGATATTTAATGGATGTAAGATGACAGGAGCCCTGCTGTGTATAAGAAATGGTGACATGGCAGCAAGAAAAGAAGGAAGTAAAAAAGGCAGCATGCTGCTGTAATCGGTCTAGAATTTATCATCTCTGGAGTTGGAAAGTGAGGGTGCGTTGGCTTCAGAAAGACGCAGAGAAATGACTTGACGTGCCTCTCCGCTCTCCTCCTCCCCGCTGCAGAAGCACAGTGTAAGCCCTACTATTCGGATTACTCCCGCTTCCGCCTCCTGATCCACCAGATGTGCACCAGCCACTACCTGGATTTGTTCATCACCGGTGTGATTGGCCTCAACGTGATCACCATGGCCATGGAGCACTACCAGCAGCCAAAGGTACTGGGACAGCCAAGGGGGACATGCAGGGCCGTGGTGGGATGTGCTGATGGGCTGAGTCAAGGCCAGTTTTGCTGTTAGACCTCAGGACCCCCATTCACCACGCCTGAACTGTCCCTTTGCCAGTGGACTGTACCCGTCCTACAGCTGGCTTCCAGCTCAATCCATGGCTTTTGGTACATGGATCCCATTGCACCTCTCCCTTCTAGTTAAGTGCAAGCAAACTGCTTTGAAAATGAGGACGGGAGCAGGTTTGTTTGCTTTGCTAGATTAGATCATCGTTGATATCTTCCATTTTACTTAGGTTTTCCCCCTTAAAAAAAAAAGACAAAGAAAGAGGAAAAAGAATAGAAGAATCTGTGAAATGTTTCTTTTTGCAAAGTTTCTTCTAAATCCCCAATGTCCCATAGGACCCGATTTTCACAGGCATTGCATTCCACACTAGTCTTTTAAGTACATTTTAATATATTAGTGTGCTAAGTTCCTGGGTCTTTGTCATGCTGTGAAAATAAAAACAGCCTGTCCTGGGATGTCAAGTCTCTTGTGCATAAGAATGAAATGGAAATAGCTGCCTTTGCCATATAACTTGTACTTACTTTTATTAACCACTTTCAGAATGAATAAATATAACACACAATAGGAGGAAATATTCTCTAAGACTAGACAGGACTTGAATACTTAATATAAAAAACCACCCCAAACAAACTAAAACATGCAAACGACGGGGGGAAATATCCTCCAGCCTATCATAAAGAAGCCAAAAGTGAAAGGAAACAAGCCCAATTTATTTTTTCTGTTCAGGTCACCTTTAAATACCCTGGAAGGCTCTTTTCATGATTCAGTCATTTGGTGATGAAAAAGGTTGTTGGCGAAGGAGCCTGGACTGGAGTCGCACTAGAGCGTGCGTCTTACCGCAGTCGTTTTGCAGCTACATTTTTTCTTGTATTATAAAAATGTTGGTCAGGATTTTGTTTTTAATTTTCTTAAGGAAAATAACATTTTGTCTCTAAGCCTCTGGTATGCAGCGTCTGGGTAATAACTCCAAGCTTGGGCCGTGCTGGGGTGACAGCACAGTTCGAGCCACGCACATACTTGAGTCTTGCTGAGTCGGGGCCCCGAAATCACTCTGGTCTGGGTGATGGATGGCTAAATGTACCAGACAGCTTTATATCCAAACTAACGATTGCTTGGTGTCTTGGTGCTGAAAGGGTTTGGTGATGGGATGCACTGGGATGCCCTGGGAAGGAAACACCAACGAGGGATGCTGCAGCTGCTCACAGAGAGGGGGATGCACAGTGCATAGAGGTGGTTCAAGCACATTTATCTGCTTTTGCCAGATAAATTTTCTTATTTGCTGCGGAGCCCAAGTGCTCTGCAGTGTGAGGGGAGGCTTGTTCAGAGCCATGGCTTCCTTTGGGCTCGTGTTTCTCAGGCAGGTGAGGTGATTTTCACCCATGGATGCTTGAAACAATTGTAACATGATGGCAGAGTGCATGGCTTAAACCTCTCCTGCTATGATTTCTCCCATGGAGGGATCAGCAAGTGTTGGTTTCGGTCTCAGAGCAGTCTGTTCCCATCTCCTGCATTCCCTAACAGTGTCCTGGACAGTTATCACTGTTCCATTTGCCAGCTATGAGAAATTCAATGCACGTCACTTAAGAGGCCAGGGAGGATGCTGTGACCACAGTGCTCTTTCATGATCAAGGCTTCTGGGGATAAAATCATCTCTGAGGAGGCTTAATGCCTGACTGTGCACAAGTTGTCCCAGCCAGGGTGCACCTGGATTAATGGCCAGGCTCTGACTTCTGCAGAGGAAGGGGGGCAGAGGAAAACGCAAGGCACTTGCTCCTCCTGGCATGCCATCCCTCTCTCCTGCTCCTTGCCAAAAGCTCAAGGTGAGGAGTAATGGCAGGCTGTCACAAAGGAGTCATTTGGCCAGTGCTTGCATGAACGAGCAAGTGGGATGAAATTCAGCTTTCTGCGGAAAGCACAAGGGGTTTTGTGCTGCTGACACCTGCAAATGCAGCAACTCTTACTGCTCACCCCAGCAATCCCAGCTGGGGTTGTGCCTTGGGTCCGTGTCAGCCCCTCCTGGGATTCTATCCCTGGGACATTTATCATCAGAGAGAGTCCACGTTTGGAGACTTTTATCTGTAGTTTGGAAATGAATAACTGGTGACAGAAGATTCAGGTTTGCAGGCAGCAAAGCCCCTCTGCAGAGCTGATGTCTAACCCCAATCCTGTGCCCACATCCAGGTTCTTGATGAAGCCCTGAAGATTTGCAATTACATCTTCACCGTTATCTTTGTCCTGGAGTCTGTTTTCAAGCTTATTGCCTTTGGGTTTCGTCGCTTCTTCCAAGACAGGTAACAAAAGCTCCATCGTGACCACGGGGGCAGCAGCAGGTTCTGGAGACAGCCACCCACATTTAGCATCCTGAATTCCCATGGTCTGCCCCATGGTGTCAGTCTGCTGTGTATGAGCACTGTGGTGTGACTGATTGAAAGCTGGATAGGTGGAGGGTTGGGATGTGAGCTGGAGAAGGGATCGTGCGTGCCAAGGAGAGGGATTGTACCACTTTGGCCCTTGGGAGTGGATGGAACAGAGACGGGTCTGACACTGACCAGCTGATTCTCTTCTCACACCAGTTGCATGTCCATATAATCAAGAGGACCTTGATTATATCACTTGGTGAAGTGACAAAATTTATGCCAAGAGACAGAATCTTGCCCTGAATGATAATGAAAGAGAAAAGGGACCCTTTCTTTTGAAGATGTGGAGCAGTGGATGAAATTGTGTCTTTATCTAGATTTTCACTCTCTTACCTCACAAATACAAATTTTACGTCCTTGGTGAATCTTTCTCCTCCCATTTTTGCCTTCTTCAATGTTAACACCAAGAGCACACCACTGAGCAGGACTCGACATGAGCCCTTCAGCAGCCAGTGTGTTGTTCCACTCCTCTCCCCACATTTCATGTGTCCGTGGTGGGATTAAATCTCTCTGCAGCCTGGCACAAATCCTTGGGGTCTTTCCTTTACCCAACATGATTTTTGTTGCAAGGACTGGACACGGGGTCCTGTTCTTTCTGGGGCAGATCTCACGCTGAGGTCCGCGAGTGTCATGTCTAGAAGTGGCCAGAGAGATGTCGCAGCACCTCCCCTGAGGTCTGCAGCCTCTGGGTAGAAAACTGCCCAGCTTTTGTTTCTCTTTCCCCTCAGTCAAGGATATCTTTGGAATTGGCTGGTTTTCTAATGAGATGCATTAGTTATAATGATTTCATAACATAACTGCTTTTGTATAATACCCTCAGAAAAATGCTGCAGATTCATTTGAGTGCTCGAGCCATTGAAATGACTGGAATTCGTGTGAAGCAAGCTACCTCCCCTTGCCAGCTTCTTAGTAGATGTTAAACTTCGTTTTGTGTTGTCTCCAGATGGAACCAATTAGATCTGGCAATCGTGCTGTTGTCTATCATGGGCATCACTTTGGAAGAGATCGAGGTGAACGCTTCGCTACCAATTAACCCCACTATTATCCGAATCATGAGGGTTCTCAGGATTGCTCGAGGTGAGAGGAATCAAACAGAACTGACTTGTGTTTGAGGTGCGGGGTCCCCACCAGGAGAGAGTTAAAGCGTTGGGAAACAGTCCTGGGGCACATCCCCATCATGATGTGCATAGTTCTGGCATCAACAGGCTGTAAACAAATAAAAGAACAATGGGGGAAAATACTTGCAAGGAGCCAAAAAGCTGAGCCAGCTGACCATGTGTTTTTGTCTTAAGAGGACTTGAAAAGCTGAGAGCTTAGGAATGAAGGAGAAGTTACTGTGGCTGTAACTCCCAGAGATATACCTGGGAAAATTATGCCAGTCAAATCAAAGTCATCTCTAACAGGGATTAGAGAACACAAGCTTGAGTACGTTGGCTTTAAAAGACAAGCATCTAATAAATTTAATTTCCCATGAGGCTTTACATCACACCACTTGGTGACAAAGCTTGCCTTGTCACTCTGCATCCATCTGTCCCCTCAGACGTGTAGCAACACGTACCCGAGTCGGGGAGCCAGCTTCTGCAGGGCCTGATTTTTTCAGAACAGGGAGGTCTCAGGGCCAAATGATGAAGTTGTAAAATGTGAGTGCTCAGGCCCTTAATGAAGTACTGCCAGGCCATCCTGAAGGGTATTGTGCTCTGAGGAAGATTGTTCTGATTGCAGCCCTCATCTAAGCAAAGAAGGAGCTGGAGGAGAAATTAAATGCTTCTGTGTCTCAAGGGGGGGGGGAAGTGCATTGGATCCCTTTCAGAATTAAAAATATATGCGGTTTCCAGTTGGAAATGCAACCTTCTGGAAGAGATGTGTAAATCAGTTCCTCAGTGAATCATGTATGAAAGTGGGTAGCCTATGGAAGTGGGAAAGTAGCCCCAGGGCTGGGAAAGTAACTGCTCATGATAACCAGAGGAAGGAGATGAGTCCAACACAGATAAAGTGGGGAAAGGAAGCGCCAGGCAGAATGATAACACTTTCTTCAAGTCTCAGGATAGGTGATGCTGCTATTCACAGGATTTTGATAGTATCCAAGCAACAAGGAGCGATGTAAAAAGGCCAGGGACTGTAGCAGCTAATGGAGAACACTTGACACGATTTCACGTTTCTCCTCCTATAATTTGTGGCTCCCGGGAGAGGGGCTGGGTTTGTGCCTCTGTGCTAACGCTGCCGTTACCATATTGCAAACGTGTTTTCCACAGTGCTGAAGTTGCTGAAGATGGCTGTGGGGATGAGAGCCCTCCTGGACACCGTGATGCAAGCGCTGCCGCAGGTAACCCACTGCCATATCAAACCAGATCTCCTCTGGCCCACAGCTAATTTCCTATTGCAGAGGAATGCTAATCATTTTATCTTTACTGTCATTAGAGAATCACATTTCCCTTCCGAAGCACAGTCTGAGATACAGTCCTCACACTGAGGTCATTTTTCCCCTGAAGCAGTTTAAGTTTTGGATTAAAGAATACAGCAAGAAACAGGTCTGGAACAAAAAAATCAATGAATGTTCTTTTTTTGTGTTTTTTTCCCCCCCATTTCTTTTTCTCTTTTCAGGTGGGGAATCTGGGTCTTCTCTTCATGTTGTTGTTTTTCATATTTGCAGCTCTTGGAGTGGAACTGTTTGGAGACCTTGGTGAGTCTTCCTGTGCCAGTGGAAGGGGTGGGAGTGGTGTGTGAGTGGTGGTCTCATGGCTGTGCTTGGTCCCACAGAATGTGATGACACACACCCCTGCGAGGGGCTGGGACGACACGCCACGTTCAGGAACTTTGGGATGGCCTTTCTAACTCTCTTCCGAGTATCCACAGGAGACAACTGGAATGGGATAATGAAGGTAAATGTTAAGGTTTCATTGGCAAGTATATTGCTATTCTAGACATGAAATTTGCCAAATCTTCTCAGTTTTCTTCATGAAAGGAGGTGCAGCCAGGTGGCCCGACAGCAGGCCCAGGTCCCTGCTGGAACCTCTTCACATCCCTCCACCATTTCCCCCCTGTTTCCAGGACACGCTGCGTGACTGTGACCAGGAGTCCACCTGTTACAACACCGTCATTTCCCCCATCTACTTCGTCTCCTTCGTGCTGACGGCCCAGTTTGTGCTGGTGAACGTGGTGATCGCTGTGCTCATGAAGCACTTGGAGGAGAGCAACAAGGAGGCGAAGGAGGAGGCAGAGCTGGAGGCAGAGCTGGAGATGGAAATGAAGACAATCAGCCCTGGCCAACACAGCCCCTCAGACATCTTTGCATGGACAGGCAGCAGCGGTGGAGAGAGACCCGAGAGCCCCCGAGGGTGTACCAATCCCATGCAAATCAAGGTGGATTCTCAGCTCTCTTTAGCTTACCACATGGTGAGAACCTCGGCTGGAGGGTGAAGAGGGCTTGACCTGCATATTTTCTGGGGGAAGACATGCACGAGTTGGTAATGAAGGAGGGGTGTACTGTATGTCCTGGGCTTGTATTCCTCGCTGTCTGCTGACTGAGTGTTGCGTGGTGTGGGAGCTGATGCTGCAGGGAAAAGGCCCCAGCAGGTCTCCAGACCACCTTGATGCATCTGTTCAGAGGTAGAGAGCTTTGCAATTTGTTCTGGAGGTGTGCCCAAGCCACCAAATTCAAAGCTAACTCCAGATTTGCTCTAATCCAGAGTGTTGACTGGGTCCTTTGTGATAGCAAAATCATGAGCATAATGTGTTTGCTTTTCTAATACAGACCATGAACCACAACATAAAAGAGGAATAAAACTTGGCTAATCTTTGCTTCAGTATTAAATTTGTTTTATGTAACCTCAATTTAAAATCCATCCCCACAGTCAGTCTTGTAAGAAAAGATTCTTTTAACAATAGAATAATCCAGAAGAGGCTCAAACCTGAGCTCACCAGAGCTGGTGGCAGAACTCCCACCAGCTGGAGCAGTGCCAGAACAGGGCTGTAATGTGGGAGCTGCTACGAGCTGCACCAAGTCTCCCTAAAGCACGGTTTTTGGAGGAAGATTCAGTTTGAGGAATGAGAGGTGAGGTCAAGCCCCAGACAGGTCCTTTGGGAGAGCACTGAACTGGAATTACACAAGAAATACGGTCCAGCCTTTTTTTAGTCTTAGCTGATTGCAAATTGGGTTAAACTCTACACAGACCTCATTAGTTTTTATTACATCATGATTTCACAACAGCATATCTTGGCCTCAGCCTGGGGTGGACTAATGAGTATTCTAATGCATGAAAAACTCATTTGTGATCTTTAGTCCAAGGGTGAAAAAGAGTAAATCCCTGCTTTAGCTTTGTTTCAGTTCCTAAGCTACTGGAAATTTCTGGTGCCATTAGAGTCTCTGATGTCTGAGACAGAGTCCAAAGCTGCTCTTTGGCACAAGAAAAAGAAGTTCGGGCAATGTGGGGAAATCCAGATTTACTACGTCCTCTAGGAAGAAACAACACATCCCAACTGTTGTTGTACATGTTGAGCAGAGTACTGGCAGACTGTCCTCGGCCCTGTTGTCCTGCACCAGTACTGACACTGGCAAAACAGAGAAAATGTAGAATTGCAAGACAAGTCAGTGAGAGTGCCCTCACTTTGCAGCCTGTTAGACCTGCTTTCTGTGAAGGTGGCCTGGGAAAGGGCTTATTCTAGTCATAACCTCCAGAGTGTGTTTCTTGCTCTTTTCCTCAAACAGAAGCCTCAAAAACCTCCAGGAGATTTTATTCTGCCTATTTATTCTCCCAGCCAAAATCTTCAGGACGAATCTGATGCTTGAGCACGATAGCAGAGGAATACAATTCCCAGGACATGACCCTGCAAGGACATGTGGTCAGCATGCTCTTTTGCTTGCCCATTCCCTGGGGTTTTTGCACCGTGTGCTGTTTGACTGTAGCGACGGTCCTCATCTCATTGTATGTAGTAGGCATCCCCCACATGGAAGGTGCACCCTTAAATCGCTCCCATGCTGCCTGCAAAAGCCAGACCCTGCTCTGTACAACCTCCTGTTGTCTGTGCTGTGGCCAGCTGGTTTGACATTGACCAGGACAACTGAGGCGCCTCAACCCATGTCTGGCACATGAATTAGTGACCTGACGTGCGTCCGTCCTGGTCAGCTGCAGCTTTCACGGGCAGGATGCTCAGCTCCTCTTCTCATCATGTTATTTTAATTTATGTGCCCTCTGGATATGGATTTAGGTGTCAAGTATTAGGTCCTTGGGCTCTGGACCGTGTGTCTAGAAGCCTTACAGCAGTAGTGTCCTGTAGAAGTTCACAGCACCGAGTATGAAGATGCTGCTCTACCGGCCCCATTGTGCTGCTCAGGTCCCAGGAGTGACCGGCCGTGTTTGCTGAGAGCAAGATTGTCCCCAAGGAGGGTCCTGAGTGGGAGCAGCTGCCGTCACCCCGTCTCTAGTAATGTCTGAAGAAGCTGTCTCTGCTCACCGTGATATTACTGCACTGTTCTCTCTCCTCTCCTAACTCACCTCTCCTGTCCTGTTGTTTCTGTTACTGCCGTTCTCCCTGAACATTTCCACCCCTTTTTCCCTGCTTCTGCTCTGTTTTTCTGCCTTTTGTTCATTGGGTTTGATACGCTGTCCTTTTTTCTCTCTGTCTCTGTCCCTCGCCTTTTTCCTCCTCTCTCCTTTTGGCTTGCTCTCTCTCTCTCTCTCTCTCTCTGCATGCTACACACCACCCCTCCTAGGAAAGGCACTTGTTTGATACCATATCACTGCTGATCCAGGAATCTCTGGAAGGAGAGCTGAAGCTGATGGACAACCTGTCAGGCTCTGTGTGCCATCATTATGCCCTCCCAGCTCCCGAATATTACAACTCTGAGAACCAGGTTAATATATCTAATTTCCTGCAAAGTCTCCATCCAAACTCAATTTGACTGAGACCTTTAATAGCGAGTTAAAGTTCTTTGTGTAATGCGGTCGCAGGGATTTTGAAGCATAAGTTGGTTTGGATTTTTCTGTGGGAGTTGAGATATTGTCTTGGTTTATGATGTTGTATATCAATGCAAGAGCAAGAGTACAGGCTTGGAGTTTCCCTTGTCAACACAGTAAGAAGTTTTTCATTGGGATTTACAGTTCATGGGTGTTGGAGGGAAAATGTACAAAATCCCATCTCCATCCTTCAGTGAGGTTCTTGTATTTGGCTTCTTGCCTTAAGCAGGGCTCCACAGCAATGTCAGGGCACATCTGCAGAGCCTGGAGCACAGCGTGAGGTCTTCCCAGAGCAGAGTTGCTGAGGATCATCAAGTGATCTCTGTTTTGTGCCTACTTATACCACATGAAAATCCAGTTTTCAATGATTTTTCCTAAAGAGGCTTCTTGCAAATGGGTCACTGTAAACTAGATCCTCATCTCTGATCTAGATTGAATTTAGGAGGGGAGGCAGCCCTTAATGAGGCACTTCAGTAATCGTGTGCTCCAGCACTTTCTTGAACAGGAACTGGAATACTTGTTTAAAATTAGTTCATTTACTTCCTAGAATAAAATACCTACTTTCCTCAAGTGTGCTATTCTTTGGAGCAAATATTTTCCCTAAATCACAGCAGTGACCATAATAATAATTCAAGCATACCTATTTTTTCCTGCAGTTGGAATTGAGCAAATTCCATATTTCTTGATCTATTTTTTTCCCCCCTTTCTGGCTAAAAATAGCAGAAGTTTTCTTGTTAAATCAGTGTGCTTATTTATGAGCTCACTGACACTCTAAATTACCCAACCCCGTGGTTCATTAGAGGAAAGGAACAAGCTTAGGTAAAATGAAATCCTACTGCAGATCTTTATATAGCAGGATAACATGTCTCCCTCTGATTGCTCTGTATCGCATTCCAGAGTCTATTAAGCTATAGGAAGTGGTTGCCTCTAAGAATTGCCAGAGGAATAGAGACAGTAGCTTTGGCAGGGAAGGCAGAGGGTCAGTAGGAAACCCAGCGAGAGCTGGTTGAAAATTTTTTATCACAACATTTTTCACTGGAAAGTGCTGCTGCAGCAAAAAAAAAAAGAAAGGGTTTTGTTTTGACATTTTCGTAATGAAAAAATATAGCATTCCAGTTTGCAATGGCTTTTTCTTTTAAAATTTAAGCTTTTTTTTGCTCCCCCTCTATAATTAAAACCCGTATAAATCAGTTGAATGTTTCCAACAAAATGTTTTGACGGCTTCGAACTCAATTTTGGGTTTGGGGAGGCTGAAAGGGGGTGATGTTTTGTTTACATTTTGGCTTTTCTGTTCACACCATTTGTCATGTTCTCAGGCAAGTCAGGAATTTAGAGCAGTGCTGGGACTTGCTGAAAGCAACCTGATTAATAGCAGCTCCCAGCAGGGAAGCTCCAGTGGGCAGGAGCTGCTGGTGTCCACCACGTTCCTGCACAGCCTTTTCCTGGCTCCAGTCAGTGGGTCCCTGTTAGGGATCACTGTCCTCAGGCTGGCAGCCTTTGCAGTGGTGCTTTTTCAGGGAGCCTGGTATGAATTCAGGAGCTCCTCCAAAGCAACTCTCTCATCCATTGCCAGCAGATGACTGTGTTAGAGGAGATATCAAAGCCAGGGTTAGATGAGAGGAGCCCGACCCTCTTACTTATCTCAGCTGAATTTTGAGCCTCTCCAGGCTCACTCATCACTGGGTTTGTTTCGCCCCACGGATGCCGTTTCTAAGAGTGAGAAAATCCAGCCCTTTGACAGCTTCAGTGCAACAGATCTGGGTCTCTGTGGTTTCTCTTGGAAGATATATTGCTGCTGAAAGACTTTTCAAGCATAGAGGATGGGGAAAAAAAAAAGCACAGCGAGAAATGTAAAAAGGAAGCACCTGGGACTTGCCCAGAGCAGGCAGTCCCTGCGAACATGAGCCAGGTCTGTAGGTTACCTGGTGAAATGCCATCCCCAGTGCCATGAGCACCAGCCTCAGACATGCACCTGGGGAGAGGATTTGGGGAGGACTGAGCCCACTGCAGAGCAGACATCCCCTCTTATAAGTGCTGTGCAGCAGAGGTGCCACTCTGGGGGAGATGCAGCAGTCCCCTTTCCCCCCCGTTTTCTCCAAAATCTGAAATGGCATTTCACATTTCTTATAAAAAGGCCACTGTGTCGAGGGAGAGAGATTCATCAATATTTGGATAAAGATTTTTATTGATTGCTTGAATGCCTTCAGTGGGGATGTGTTTGTGCAAGATGCATTGGTACAGAATCAGTGCAGCCATGCAGCGCCTATTCCCAATTTGGGTTTGCTCAGTGCTGGAGGAGGTGCTGGGGCCAGGGCTGGGGGGTATTTGGGGAGTGAAAGATGCAGGGATTGTTTTAGTAGGACAATTATTGGTGCTTAACCAGGCACTGGAGGCTCTTTAACCAGCCAAAACTCACTGAAGGCACCAGGAAGGCATTTGCTAACCAAAATCAAACCTTAAGTTTCCCTGTCCCCATTTAGCCATTAGGAAGTTGATTGTAGTCCCACCTACCTCTCTGGGAGGGGGAGGTCCCTGTGCCCTCCCCAGGGCACAGGGAAAGGCACACTCCATGTCCCACCTGCAAAAGGGTTTTGCTGTTGGGGAATCTCTGTAGACTTAACAAGTTCAGCTTAGAGGCCAAGAAAGCAGCATGGTTATTATGGGGAAACAACTTCAGAGAAACCAGATCTTGAAGCTTCTTGTATTTGATCACAGCCAAGAGGATAAATCTCTCTAGTATGAAAGTAATATGACTTTTGCTTCTTCATGTAGACAGGAGAACAGCAAAATACAATGCTAGCATTAGTGTATGGTTTTAAACCCCATCCCAGATCATTGGTAAGCACTGAAGTATGAATGTCCCACTCCTTTTTTTCATTTCTGTATTATATTTCATTTCTTTAATGTTCTGTCCCTGGTAACAATGTGCATGATGTAGCTTCTCCCACTGCAGGGATATTGCTTTAGTGTCTAGAAATATTTAGATTATGATACTTCTTTTTTAATTTTCTTTTCCAAAAGATTTGTGTCCTGGTTTCTTATGTTTAATCATCTCTCCCTTTAGATCCCTCTAGCTGAGATGGAGGCTCTGTCTCTGACGTCAGATATTCTCTCTGAAAAGTCCTGGTCCTTAGCTCTGACGGATGACTCTTTTCCTGATGATATTAACACACTCTTACTTAATGCTCTGGAAAGCAATGTACATACACTGGTCGCTGTATAGTCTGATGTTTACAGGGTTCGAAATACTGCTCCCACTTCTCTACACCTGCCTAATGGCATTTTCAGTTCAAGCCCTTTCCCAAATAGCACCAACCTTTCCCCCTGAACAGGACATTGTCCTTAATGCCATTAGGTCCAATCACTCTTGTCCACAAACTTGGCTCCTTGCAAGGAACGAGTAGTTATTGCTATTTTTCCTTTGATGTCTTATGTATAAACAATGTGTTTTCTACAAGTAAAATAAATAGTAAAAAGAAAAATGCTTTGGAAAGCATCAAGGTTGAAATTTCCTCCCCATCTGAAACAAATCAGTGGTGCTGCGTGAAGAGACACCCATGAGCTAATGACTCGTGTCCTCTGCTGAGGGGTCAGCTCCAACCCCTCGGTTTGTAATGGATTTTTGTCTTTATGAACACAGGCACCACAAGGCTTTTTGCATGATTGGTGCCAGACTGTTTATTTTACGAATATCAGATGGGGATCTCTCCGAGATGATGCTTGTTTTGGGAATTCTTTCTAGCAGCCACCCTGCTGAAAAAAAAGAAAAAGTTCAGACTACTTTGTGTCTTTTTGACTGAAATAACCAGTATTTTGAACCCTGCCTTAACCATCTCCTCTCTGAAACATTAGACATTTTAGATGTGTAGCAGTCAAGTGCTTTTTTTCTGCTGTACAATAGACATAAAACTCCTTTCCCAACATTTTTGGATCATTCTTGTTTCCTTTGTTGTTGTTCATGTACCTGCCTTTGGATGTTTGTGTTGTTCATAGATTTTCTGCCATACTAGTTGACTGCCATCCTAATTAGCACTTATTTGGGAAACATCTCTTAAACCGTGACAATATTTCCCATCATGCTTCATGGCATCATGTGCAAAAGATTTTGTAAACTACATTTAACTTCTTGTATGAGACTTTTCATTTCCAAATTAGTCTGGAGAGTTGGACAGAGGAGAAACCCTTCTAGTTTTGAATCAGATTAGACAAACCTGTTTGAGAGCATTGCAAAGTCTCAAGGGTGTAGCCAGGAGAGATGGTTTTTCTCCCCCCTCCAAAAAAAGCAAACCCATCTTGAACAGAAGATTTTGTTAATTTGTGTCAATACCAATGAAGTGTTTGATCAAAACAGTTGCCCAAACTCCTGAAAAACTACAAGCTTTCATTGAAATCTCTTCTAAATGCAGTATTTTTACACTTCATTTAGACATGGCTTTAGTTGAAAAATATCTCCAGATATTTTGTTTGACTCAAAATAGATTTGGATTGAGATTTTTTTTTTCCTTTTTTTTTTTTTGGTTCAAGGAAAAATTGGATTTGATTTTCAGTCAAGCCAAAACAACATGTTTTTCAAAACTACCAATGAACCAAAAAGTCATGTGCTCCCACAGCTCTGTGAGCTGGACTGGGAAGACAGTTTTTCAGCCATTCTAAATGCTTTTCGTGAAGTTCAATCATGAGATTTCCCCCGAGATGATCTGAAAGTGGAAACGAGCCCAGTGTGGTATTGGATCCTGTCAATGAACCCAAGGGTTCATTAAGGGCTGGGTTTGGATGGGATCTCGAATACATGTTCTCGTGTTCAGATCCAAAGGGGTTTGAGTTTGAGATCTCAGGTTTCAGGCCATCTTTTCTGCTTTAAGCTAAGCAGTGACAGCTCAATAACATAAACTGTTCAGCGGGAAGGCAGGGAGGGACAGAGAGGTTCCCAAACCCAAAGTCTCAACTTTACCAGAACAGGTTTTGCTCTCCTTCCTTGAGCTGTATCAGGAGACTGCAGTCTCTCTTATCTAGGCTGTATCCAAGCTATATCCAAATCGGCAGGTTCCCAAGGACTGAAACAAATGCTGCATGACAGTGCAGATCCGTTTCCTTCATTAAATTTACAACAGTGGTCTTCCTTTTTTTTTCCTTTTCTTCTTTTTTCCTCATTCTTTTTCCTTTTTTTGTAAATTCCTTTTAATCTCATCATGTTTCTTGTGCAAATGAAATGCCATCGTGAAATTTTCTTTTTATGACTGAAGGATCAAATTGGGACGAAAAAAATCTCAGTGCTGATTTCAGAAAACCTGTAATGCACTGAGTGAAGGGAAAATTTTTCAGAAAATATGATTTTAAGTTTTCCAAAAATCATCAGCAAAATACTGTATCAACCTACAGTGGGACAATCTTATTCCTGTGTTTTTCGAGTGAGACCTTTTAAAGATAAAATAATTCTTTCATTAGAAGTACATGGGGAAGATGACTCTGCTTCCGTTTTTGCTAATATTGTCCAACATAATAACACCCAAGAACATTTCCAGGATGGAGATGTTTTCTTATGAAATCAGACCTGAATCCATTCAATATTGCCTCTGGGGCTGCCCATTCCAAGAGACTCTTTGGCTATAAAAAGTCCACAGTCAACATATATACAATAACCCTCGCTTGCATTAGATCCCTTCTAATTAGAGAATGACTTTCACCCTGAAGCAGTAGTTTTAGATATCCCTTTCAATAAAATGGGGTTAGTTATTCATTTTGTGAGAAGAAAAACCAATAAAATTGTGCTGGGAGCCAGAATAGAGAATATTTTTTGTAAACTAGTTTTTGTATTTGGGTTTTATTTGTTTGTTTTCCTTTCTTTTATTGTTAGAAGAGGAAACTGCTCACCTTTGCAAAAGTCTGCCTTGCTGATGAGGGCACCTAGGGAGCAGAGGATCAAAGTTATGCCAAGCATGTGACCGTTGCTGGCCTTGAGGCATGATGCCTTCTTTGCATATCCCTGAAATAGTCATGGTTTACCCCTACAGTGTTGCTTCCTCTGTTTCTGTGGTTCATTGTGTGACAGTTTAATGACAACTCCCAAGGAGGGGGATAGCCCTGGTAGATCCATTCGTGCAACCTGTGCATCCCGACGATGTGCATGCCCATCGTGCCATACTGATTGCAGTGGCTGTCGCTAGCGTTTCTGGGCACTTCTCCTCTTTCCCACCCCGTCCTGCCCTCCTTCCTCACTGTTTTTTTTTTCCCTCAGGCTGATCTCCGCTCCAAAGACGACACACTGACCCTGTCTCCCAGCAAGGACTTGCTGAGCGTGAGAAAGCCTTCGGTGGGACGCACCCACTCCCTGCCAAACGACAGCTACATGTTCCAGCCGCCCTATTCCAGCCCCTGCCCTGCCTCCCTGGGCGAGAGGAAGCCGGCACATCACAAGTCCCAGTCAGGTACACATCTGTCAGCTGGGGCCAGAGCAGGGTTTTCCAATATAACAAGAGTTGGGATTTTGCAAGCTCTTCAGTAGGAGGTAGCAAATTGCCATTGGTTTCCAGGGAGGTGTTGGTGTCCAAACCTGGTGTCCTTCCTGGCTTTGAAAAGACCCTCCACAACTTGCAAAGACCCTCCACAACTTACAAAGTCCCTCCACAATTTACAGAGTCCAGGCTATATTAAAGATAACTCCTTTCCTCAGAACTTTCTGGCAATGTGACAGTGGCCCAGCTCAGTGCTGGTTGTCTTCCTTCCTGGTTCCCTAAGGTTACAGTCCCTACAGCCTGGGTTCCATCTGCCCCACCTGAGCAATCTATGGCCCCAGAGCAGAAATCCCAGCAGAAAAATATTTCCTCCAGTCTGTTTTTTTGCAGCAGTACCTGTTCTGGCAGGTCTTGGAAGCTCTATCTAGGAACATCTTTGAAAGATGGAAAAATGGTGCCTCTAAATGCTTGTAAAATGAACATAAATGTGCTGAATTGGAGAGATCTCGATGTGAGATGAATGGAAAAATGAGAGAGTGTAGAATTGTTCTTCCCAGTGTGCATGGCTGGGATATACATCTTAGAGCTAAATTCTTAGGTACAGCATGTTGCAGGTGCAGAGAGCTCTCTCCTTCTTCACCTCTGTACCTGTACTTGCAGCTGCCTCCCAGAGCTTATTACTGTGCCCCCATTCACTCTGTCTGCCAGGGGTTACCTGCAGCTCGTAAGGGAATGGAACCACCTTTAATTCGTCTGTACGTGCCATCATTTTAGACATTTGTCACAGATAAGACAGAGAAGTTTTTACAAGCATTGTCATTTGAAAGCCTCTAAGCAGAACGTAATTTCAGCGCTGTTCAGAATGGTAGGAGATTTGAACAGATTAGAAATAAGATGTTGAAATTTGCATAGTAATAAGAATTTGGATGAATAGCGACTGTTGAACGGCAGCAAAAAAAAAAAATGTGGGCACAAGGGAGGAAGATGAATCTGGAGTTGTGAGAAATCTCTGCCACAATACACAATTTTCAAGGTCAAGAGCTGTGCTTTGAAGCACCTGTTTGCACATAATGCAAACGGTGCCTCTGAAATCCTGGTCAAATCCCACTGAAATCAATAGCAAATCTCCCGTTACCTTCAGCTGAGCCAGAATTTATGGTTCTCTGTAACAGTCAAGAAATTCCTGACCGTACAAAAGAATCCCGTTTGCTACAGAGGGAGTTTCCAGTGCTTCATTTTTGACCCTTAATTGGGAGGTATTTGTCCTGTCTTGAACAAGAACAACGTCAACTCAACCAGAAAGTGGGTAATTTCCGAGTCCCTTCTTTTTCAAGATTTCACTTCCCAGTTCCAGCTTGGAAAACTGAATAGCCCCATCTGACAGCCCTGGCTGGGCAGGGCAGGCATTGCACCCTTGTAAATCCACAGGAAAAACTGTTCCAATGAGATGCGGGATTTTGGAAAGGTAAAGCTGATGTCTTATAACCACATTAAGCAATTAAACCTTCTGTGTTTTTCTCCTTCTGGTGAAATTCCAATTGTCTTAAGCGGGCCAAAGTGCTGGGAGGTGGGTAAGGTGCCCAAATTTTGACGTATGCATCATTGTCCTGTTCTGCCTACAATGTCACTTCTTTTCAGGGTGGGGAAAGTCACCCCCACCTGTTTACAGTTTGTAATATTATAAAGTGCTGTGAAGATAGCAAAAGGTGCCAGGCGCCTCTAATAAATCACCACAACTAAGCCATAATATTTCAAGCTGAGAAGGTTTTGTTGTCAGAAACACTGGCACTTGCAGGAGGTATTTGTTTGAATACTCCTTCGTAATGGGGCTGTTGTTCTGGGAAAGATTCCAGGACAAATGAGATTCTCTGGGATGCAGTCCAGGTTAAATGAATTGTTTTGAAAAATGTTGAGCCTGTGTGTGGGGGGAGCACGCAGAGTTTCAAACCTTTTAGAAGAAGTAGCCAGCAACCACAAAGGGTCAAGAAGAGGCTGGAGAGTATGTGTTTCCTTCTCCTGGGAGGCTTTGTAAAACCAGCCTTGAAAGCTGCCAGGTGCCGTTCCCTTTCACTTTGTTTCCAGTGTGCCTGCTGGTTTGGCGATCCCAGCAGTTGGTCTCCATGTAGGGTCAGGCATGGAGACACCTCCTAAAGCCTTTCAAAGTCAGATACTTGCGGAGCTCAGAGGTGAAGCTGCCTGCGAAGTTGTTGGCGCTAAAGCAGGGATGTAGGAATTGCCAGTTCAGATGAACTTCTAGTTCCTAATCTTCTGTTCTTAACGGGAGCTAGTCCCAGTTGTATCGGGGGGAAATGCCAAGAAAAATGAAATAATAGACAATTCTGGAGTAATTTATTGATAGGCGGGAGTTTTTTTCCCAGTCGTGGAGAGCCAGCTGCTGAATTCAGTGGTTTTGCTGTGCCTGTCTGATCCAAGGTGCAACAGAGCTGTTTTCTCAGGGAGGTCACTGAGGCTGAGACACAACCCCCAGATGAACATGTCCCATTTCTGTCTCTTCTCCCCCTCGCAAGGTTCAAAGGCATCGGTGCAGTCACAGCCGGCGGACACGAGCTCCCTCCTGCAGATTCCAAAAGACCATTTTCACCACATAAGAGCTTATGACCATTTGGTGGGGGAGAGCAAGCCCCAGGTTTCCCAGCAGGTGCACTCTCCTTCTGCTGAAAGGCTGCTCCGCAGGCAGGTAAGCAGACTCTTGATCATGAACCTGCTGAGGTTTTGTATTGGTGCATTTCCCTGTTAGCTGTGCTTTAAATTCAGGGAGGGATTCACAGAGAAACCTCGGGAGAACTGTAATTCTCCTACAGAAATAACAAAAAGGTTGATGGATTTTGATCTGAAAGCCATCCAGGAGTCTCCAAAGAATGTGTGTGATGAGTATCATCTCCTTTGGCAACATGCCTAAATGTTCTCCACATTGTTAGCACTTTATTTTTTTCAATCCTCTTCATAAATGCAGCCAAATGCTCCCCAGGGGCTCGTTGGGGTTGAGGAACTAATTCTTAACTGCTGTGATTTTTTCGGTGCTTGAAAGGACACAGGGACTGCAGGCTCCATCCCAGGCCACCCTCCCTCTGACTCCTCTGGTTTCTCAGGAAGGGAGAAGTGTTTAATGGAAACTGGTTATCTCATATGCAAAACCATCATAGAAAGCATACTGGCTTTACAGTGAGAATTGAAAATTAAAATCTTTTTCCATCCACTGTGAGCTTTTGAAAAGTTTGAGTATATGCAAAACAGAACACATTTTATTTTGCAACTGGTTTTATCTCTGGTTTTTGCCTGGAATTGATTTAAATCCTGATTCAATCAAAGATCTAAGAGATCTAATCAAAGATTCCAGTCTGGTTGATTGGAAGCATACGTTTAAATTTATCTTTTTTTAGTAAAATACTTAAACTTGTGCTTCACTCTCACATTTTTAAACATATTTCATTGATTGTGCAGCTGGACCGGGACCAGAAGCACGTCTGATTCAAAAACTCTGCTTTCTTCAGTAGTTTCATGCCTGATTTTACATACACAAAGTGGATCGGTTCTATTTTTTCAAAAGCAATTTCTTTCCTGCATGAAAATAGTCCCATTCCTTTCATCTTTTAATCAACATTGACAAATTAGACAGTTGATTCATTAAGCTCTAAAAATGAATGTGAAGTACCAAGGTTAACAATTACATTAGTCTGTAATACTAAATTGACATAAGAAATTCCTTGCATGTATTCATTTGCACTGGGCTGGCCAGCTACCCCAATCACCACTAATGGGGATACTAATTGATGTCATGATTCCAGTTCATAACCACTCTCTCTTGCTTTCTAATGAATAACAGACCCATCCTTTTGAACTGATCTAGCCAGAATAAATTACCATGTTGGCCATCTTCTCCAGTTTAATTTTGTTCATATCTTTGACGGCTTCTTTTTCTAAACCTTTTCATATGTTTAAGTTAATTTATTGTCTTCCCTCCTCTCCCTGCTCATGCAGTGACATGAGCATGGTCTTGGAGTGACAGTCCAGAGAGCAAAAAGCTTTGGGACAGTGAGCAGATGCCATCCATGGGCAGACCCATGAGGAGTTGCCTTGGGTTGCTCCTGAGCAGCAAGGAGCAATCAGTGTGGCTAATGGGAGCAGTAAGGCTGTTCCTGGTGATATTGCTTTTACTGTTAATTGCAATCTAGATGGCCAGCCACTGGGAAACTTAGTCCTTATAGAGGCAAAATTCCCTTTACAGCCCCAGCTCTTCTGCTTGCTCAGTTGCTCTCTGCTTGGCTCTTTTTATTGCCACCACTAATTTCTCACCAGCACATCAAATAGCCCAAACTAGCAAAGCATTTTAGTTTGCAGTACCCCTTTTTCCTTATTGTTACATATACTGCATGCAGTTCTGATTTGTTTTCTTTCTTTTCTTTCTTTCCCTTCCCCCCTTGTGCCCTCTCGTCTCCTAAATCTGTAATAGATAAATCTTGTCCACCACATACCTGGTCCGTGCACTTTCCCTGAGCATTAAAACCTGTGTGTTTAACCTCCCTTTCCCTCCAGAGTGCTGGAGAGCGAGCACAGTCCCCACAGTAACGTCCAGTTTAGACTCCGGAGTGTTTGACAATTAGCGATGCACTCGCAGATGAAGATGAGTGGATCGGATGCTTTGAGAGAACATTCCTGCTGAGGATTATGCTCCTTGGCAGTGCATTGCACAAAAGCTTTTCTCCAGAGGAATTCTACCTGAAGTTAAACCTATATTGATTTTGTAGTTCCAGGACTGTGTATCCAAGGTGTAGCCCATGCCAAGCTGTGGCTACTACGGGTGTACACCCCACTGGGATGGCAGAGGGTCCTTTTATTTTCAAACAAACCAGTAAAACATTTGTACAAACAGTTACTACTAACGACAACCACAGATGCCTGTATCATAGGCAAAGAAAGAGCTGGTGGTGGCTAATACTGTCGTGGTGTGCAACACAGGTTGGTGTGCAAGCAAAAGTAATGATAATAATTACTTTTTGCTTCTGTATTCAACTTTTGTGTGGTCTGTGTCTGTTCTCAAGATATGAACGTGATTTCTTCTCCCAAACACTCACTAAAGCTACTTGGTGCTGAGGAGACCAGAATAACTTCACTCTTGACTGATTAGTTGCTGTGAAATTTTAACTAGAAAGGATTCACCAACATTGGACAAAATTGTTTGCCGTATTAAATATTCTCTCAGCTCTCCCCGTTGACAAAGGGGATGTGCAGATGCAGCAATAGACTCTGGTGTTTCTGTGCACACATGAACACACTGCAGCTGACAAGAGCTTTGCTGAATAGAGATCATTTGGCTCAAACGATCCTTGCGGGACAATTTTTATATAAATTCTATGATCATTTTGGGGTGATTTGTCACAAAAGTATTCCTTAGTATGAGGAATTTCATCTACTTACAGTTTTTCTAAAGAACTGAGACCAGCTGTATGCATTTCCTCCAAATTTCTATGTGAAGTTTTTAATCTTTAAGATCATTTAAGAGTCTTCTCAAACCGAGACTCTGCCTTTAAGGGCCAGTTAATGTGGCTGATTTATAAAGCCTTTTGACAAGCAACGCAGTGCAGTGAAAAGACAAAGCCTTCAAAACATGCCCAAGGTTCTCTCTGCCAGCAGGCACTGATTCTGCATATGGCTCCAGACAGCCAAGGCAAAATGTGCCTTAGGAAGCTGAACTTAAACATCAGAATAAGTTGAAATATTTGCAGATTATTATTAGTCCAGCTTTGGACTCCAGCTTTTCCTGCTCCTGCCATAAGATGGTGCAGAGTCGTGGCTCCAGCAGGGACCAAAGCCAGGGACAGGCTGTCACCCTGGTGCTGGCACAGGGCGTGGTTGCTCTGGTGTGCTGGCTCTGGGGATCCTGTTCCATGCCCGCAGCATCACCTGAGCTAGAGAGGAGAATACACACAGGCTCACTTGCACATCTTCCCTCTCCTGCTCTCACCTGGGCTGCTAAAATTATCAAGGGCTTTGCTGTAGACCTTCATCCCTTTCATAACAAGAATATGTGTGAGTTTGGGTGGGGGCATTCTGGTTTTGCAGCCCTCCATCCTTAGAGGAGAAAGCTCAAGGTCAACCATTTACGAAGAGTGAAGGGCCAGATTCTGCTGTCACTTACACAGGGACAAACCCGCAGATCTCTGAAGATGGGAATTGGTAGAACCCACAACACAGGTCCTTGTAGGAGTCAGTGGGTCTGTGCTGAGGTATCTCAGCAGAGCTGAGTGCCCTGTAAATGCTGTATCTTGCCTGTACTAACCTTTGTTTGGTCTGTCTCTCTCATCTGGCAACTCCTCTCCTCCCCAATCCCTCTGCGCTCCGACACAGATGGCTATAAGGAATGACTCTCTGGATAGCAAGGAGAATCTCCACACTGAGGTGAGTGAACTCTCTGACCCAAATGTCCCTGCTGTGCCCAAGGAGGAGTCACCAGTGGCTCTGACGCCCTCAGAAGCAAATGAGTTGGCTGCATGGAGTCGGGTGAGCGTTCACACGCAGCAGCATTCCCACAATCAGTATAATATTTCAAAGCAGGCACCAGCATCCTGTGCTTGTGCAGACTCGTATCAGGAGACCCCTGGAGATTCAATGGACCAAGAAGTATCTGAAATAAACAGCTCCTCAGAGCCTTTCACTTCAGAAACTTGTACAGCCTCGAGTGCCTGTTCAGAGGGTCAGCCTCTCACTCCTAAGAGGAACGTAGGCAATACTGGCAGCGTGACACTGAAGGACCTGAAGAAGTACCACAGTGTAGACACCCAAGGTCTTCTAAAAAAACCGCCCTCTTGGTTAGATGATCAAAGGAGACATTCAATAGAAATTTGTTCCATGGAAAACAGCCCTCAGCACCATTCCACATCCAGCTCCTCTGGCTTCATAAGTCAGGTGGTCAGTGAAATGGAAGGCTTGCAAGGAACGCGGCAGAAGAAAAAACTGAGCCCTCCCTGTATATCTATAGATCCACCCGATGGGCAGAGTTTGGTACCTAGAGGACCTCACAGCATCTCACCTGCCAGCGGAGACGTTTGCTTGAGGCGGCGTGCTCCATCCTGTGAGTCCAAGGATTCGATGGATATAGGGGATTCGCTGCTTCCAGACAGTATGTCAACATCTCCTACCCCAAAGAAAGACTTGTTGACACTTCCTAGCTTTTCCTTTGATCAAACGGAAATGGACCCCTGAGTTACTTTTCTGTTGGTGCCAAATGTTTTCTTCCTTTCATGTAATAGAAAAAAAAAATTAAAAAACTCTGTACTCCTAAACGGCACTGGGTAAAAAATTTCCAAAGAAAGATTAAAGAACCAGCTGGTTAAAAGAGGGGTTAACCTATATCACGCTTACTTAAGCATATGTTCTGCTTAGGTAAAAGCAATACAATGTGCAGAATCTATATGTATATTATATTTTATTAAATTAATTGAATCTAGTATTGCGGGATGTAGTACATTTTGTGACTAAAGACATTTAATTTTCTTCTATTTTATGTATCTCAGAATATTTCTGAGATAAAGTTGGTTTTTATGAATATTTTAACCTAAAAAATATATATATTTAATCCCTTCTCTTTTTTTTTGTTTTGTTTTGTTTGGGTTTCATTTTGTTTTGCAAAGCACAAAATGTAGCCAATTAGTGCATTACAGAGGAAATGTATCCCACAGTCAGCAGTAAAAAAGGATTATTTAATGTAATTTATTTTTCCCCTTGGACTTCAATGATATTCTGGGAAAAAAGATTGTTTGGGTAGTATAGAAATGCAGTGGCAATTTTTTAACAAAATATTCCAATCTTGCATAAAATTGACATTCAGAGTGAAAGCAAGTGCTCAGACCCAGGAAGGTACAACATGCTGATAGATGTCTGAGGATGGTGAAGGCAGAACCATTTAACAGTACATGATATTGAATTATGAGAGGATGTTATGGATCATCCACTGGCAACTCACAAAATCATGTCAATGGTTCATTTTCATACGTGCCTAGGAAACAGGCAACAAAAGCCTGTGGTCACTTCCAGGATGTTTTTCCAGTGTCTCCAAGATGGACTGTTTATTTTGCTGAGTTTTACACCTCTGTTTGCAGTGGAGCTCCTCCTCTCTGCAGCGGGTGGAAAGGAGTGAGGCCAAGTTTAGGACTTGCAGTGGGTGTACTTGGTGCAGACGTGGCATAGCAGCGAGTTTAAGCACATGTTTAAAGTTAAGCTCTTGCCTAAAATGCCTTGAGGTTGACCGTATTTAAGTAATTCTTGAAAATTAAAATCGTGTGCTTATGTTCTATAGAATCAAGCCCTACTGCAAGTTTTTATAAAGATTACCTAGAATAAAGTCTGCAGGTACTGAAAGGGCTGCTGATTTTCAGTAAAATAGCCAGGTATTCTGCTATCCCTGCTAGAGTTAATTTACGTGACCCTGACTGTAATTTTATTTCCAGTCTATCAAAAGCCTTAAGCAGCAACATCATGATACAAAGTAGATAAAACCAGAATTCATGTCCTTACTTTATAACATGTCCTTGTCAATCATCTCAGTTATTACCTGTTTACTCCTGTGCTAATACCCTCTGCAAAAACCACTCTGTAAAACTGGACAGCACAGCCTGAAACCCACGAGAGGTTGGCCCCGTTCGACACCTCCCCCTCCTCACATGAGTGATGCAAACCAGACATTAACTCCACTCAACTTCCATGAAATCACATTAAGATGTAGGCTAAATTAGACTGTAGGCATGCTTTGAAGTGTGCCAATAGTAACAGGTTTGAAACTGCACCCATGGATAAGGCTTTGCTGGATCGTGTCTCTGAACCAGCACAGGAGGATTTGTGCTAATTCTGTCAGTCGGGAGTTTGTAAGTTTTTTTTGAGAACTACTGATCTTTTCAAATCACTACAACATGTTGATGTACAGCCTTTTATCCATTCAGAGATTAAACTGTCTCCACCACGTGTATCTGCATGAGCTTCAAGTGTACACACAAGGAGAAGATGCTGTTTCTACCCAACAGCCTATGTGAGGTCCTAAGCCCCTTTATTTTCACTTGAGGATGTTTACTCTTTAAACAATCGCTATTGATTTACATGTCTTGGAGAAATGTAAGGGCTTTCAGCAGGAAGTCAGGCAATCAGTGTATTTGAAGTAGAAGGATTAACATTCTGTACTATTTGCTGCAGTTAGATTAATTTTTGGCTGGGACATTTTTCCCCTCTTCAACACGGGCCCTTACAGGGGCAGCTCTCTTTGATATGCCAGCCCAAATTCAGAATTAAGCCCGTCTAAAGCAATGATTTCAAACAAACCTTTCATCAGTTCTTCCCCCAGATCATATTTAAGGAAATAATAAAATTACAGTGTATTAAGTCTGAGAAATATTCCTAATCCCTTTTTGGGTTTACGCTCATAATGAGCCGTAGCTTTTCCTTTCACATGTACTAAATAATTTGGGAAACCAGCTAGGGCACTAAAATTGCCAAGCCTGGTTCCTTCCTGATTAGGATTGTGTTCATATAGTTGGAATGATACTACTCTACAGATCCTTCCTTACAAAAAATCCACTGAACATTTTAGCGTGAAATCATGGCACAAAACAGTGATGTGATGTTAATCCAAATGCTCAACTCCAAATGTAACAGAAAGCCTAAAGGCTCTTCTATTTTCAATACTCGGGGTTTTACCCACTAACAAGGTTTGTGGAAGTAACAAAAAGTTTACATCATATGTGAATATTCAGTAAAGACTAGCCAATAAAAGATACTCTATGGTGATGCATTCAGGAAAAGAAATCCATGTAAAATAGATTGTTTTCTAAACCAGATAAGTTTTTTCTAGATGCCCTTTTGAAAGACAAATACAAATGTACTGCAGCGTGTGCAATAATCTTAAAATAATTTTAAATACCTTTGGGGGGGTTTTATAGAATTTGACTTTTTTAAACAAAATGTACAAAATCCACAGGAATTCTGTAGAATGGTTATGTTGATAGAATTTTTTATATTTTTGTAGAAATCTATAGAGAAATTGTTAAAAGTCTGCATAGCATCTTGGCAACAGAAGCAGCTCTTATCTACAAGTTTCTTTTCATAACCTGGAGCCAGACCTACTGTATTATGACATGTAGAGCCTAGTTTTAGAGCCTGCATCCAGGTCGTGTTCAGAAGTAAGCAGCTAAAGCTCAAGTTCTACGATATTGCAGTGCTATTACTGTTTGAGAACTGTACCCACACAGAACACCCACCCCCAAAACCCAGCCCCTGTCGATGGTGAAGTAGTCGCATGGCTATCCAGCTCATTCAAGCACACCAGCACTTTACTACTGTGGATTTACTGTATACAGGTAGGAGGAGAATATTTTGCTATTGCCAGTCTGACACACGGGGAAAAAGAGATGGCAGACGTCTGGGAAAATGTAAATTCCATTCTTGCAGCCCCTCGTGCATAGAACTGATTTTTCATAACTTGGTTACAGGCTGTTTGTACTGTAGATATTTTGGAGGAGGGCAGAGAAAACACTGTTTTTGACTTCTGTGGATTGCACTCAGCACCAGGTGTGTTCAAGGAGGAAAAAAAAACCAACAAGAGAAAACAACAAAAATAAAAAGAAAACAAAAGTGTTACCATTGTAAATTAGGCTATGCCCCAGTCTCCCCTTTTCTGCCCCTTTGGCTATAATAACCCATGTACACTATTACACGAGGTGACTAGAGTAGGCACAGTACCATTGCAATGTCCGTAACAACCTAGTATATATGATAGAACTTTGTATTTAATAGTTAATATATTGTTATACTGTATCAGGTATATAGGCCAAAACAAGGTCTTTTGGTCAGGGCAACAAAAGGTGGTATTCATGGGGGAAAATTGGGTTAAAATGTTCCTTTTTAAAAAAAAAAAAGAAGAAAAAAAGACAAAAAATGAGTGTAAATCTTTACAAATGACAAAAACAAATGTGTCCTATTAAAAGCTTTTGAAAAGAAAAACAACTGTGCATTTTCCCTTTTTTTTTGTTGCTGCTGCTGATAATCTGTATCATTCCAAGTGGTCAAGTCTTTGGTCATGTTTTAATTGAGAACAGTTGGGGTAGGTATCGGGTAGCAGCAGTGGCCGGGAGGTTGAAAGGAAGATTGTGAAACGTTGGGTCTTTGTGAAGCAATTCAGTCTGACACTGAGAGTGAATCTGGCCCCGCAATGCATCGCCCAGGGTGTGCTGTGGGACCTGGGAGACCATGGGCTGTGCTCCTGTGGGTTGCACTGTGCTGGCAGGGAACAGCTCAGGAAGATGCTTAGGGATGCAGGGACTGCAACGAGGAGAGCTGCAGCCAGTGGGGAGAAAGGCAGGAGAAGGGGCAGATTTGATCTGTCCATGAAAACGCGTTGCTGTGAAGAGGAAAATGCTGGGCTTTTCCAGGCGTTCACAACTTTGGGATTTCCAGCCTGAAGTCCAGCAGCCTCTCCCCCATGACTCCTGCAGTCATTTAACTCCTTGCAAAGCAGGAGTTGGTGGGGATGGCTCTGCCCTGGGGGCTGAAGGGCAGCAGGGACTCAGAGCCCAGGTGCTGCTTTGGTACCATCATAAGCATTTCATGGAATCACAGAATGGTTTGGGTTGGGAGGGACCTTAAAGACCATCTTGTTCTAACCCCTTGTTGTGGGCAGGGACACCTTTCACTCGATCAGGTTGCTCAGAGCCCCACCCAGGGCAGGCTGGATGGGGCATCCACAACTTCTCTGTGCAACCTGTGCCAGGGCCTCACCACCCTCACACAGAGAAATTTCTCCCTGCTACCTAACCTAAATCTACCCTCCTTCTGTTCAAAGCCATTCTCCCTTGACCTGTCACTACATGCCTTCATTAAAAGGCTCTTCAGGGGTCTTTAGGGAATGAATTATGTAGCTCCTAACATGAAATCTCCTCTCCCCTGGGAAGCAGCCTCTGGAGGGAGGAACCAGGCACTGGGCACTCTGCAGTCCTGTTCCTCTATGGCTGGAATGACCTAATTTCTCTGCAACATGAGGGACCCTAAATTGATACCCAGTGCAGTTATGTTGTCTAGAGGATGCTTTGATAAAGTCAGGAGAAAAGAGCAGGAAGGATATTAGTCCTTAAACAGAGAGCAAATCCACGCAGAGCAGGACTCCAGGTGAGCTCTGGGATGTGTCTGTGTTGTCCAGGCTGCAGGGCCAACTCCACCAGGCTGGAACCACTGAAATGCCTTCCCACCCCTCCGAGGCTGGAGGATCCCCAGGGTATTAAGATAAGCCAGGCTGAGCCAAGGAAGCAGAGCAGCTCACAGGTTCCAGCACTTCACACCTCTCTGCTCACAGGTGAGTTCAGTTCCTCACAGGCCACAGCAAATCATTTCTAACAGTGAATTTCAGAGAATCTTGGGAGAGGGTTTTTTTCCGTGCTCTGTTTTGTGGATGTTTCTGTATGAAGCTCTCCTGCTGAGTTTTGATGTGGTTTTTTGAAGGCTCCAACCCAGGCTGGCTGTTTGTGGATGCGTTTTCAACTTCCCAAACTCAGGCGTGGCACTTAGTTACTCTGTTTCGTAAGTAATTGGGATGCCACAGGGAACCAGGCTGTTTTCTGTGTAATGGTACCTGTGTCTAGGGAAGCAGCACTTTAAATTTAATTTGTTTCTGGCTTAGTTGAGACAGTTAGATGAACACAGCTAACTGTCCTGCTTTAGGAGAACAGTGTCCCATTGGAAAAGCTGTGTGCACAGCACATCCCTCGGCCAGAGCTCTGCTAAACCCTGCAAGATGGGAAACAGAAAAGGCCTATTTGTGCCTTCTGTATTTCAGGTGTTCCAGAGGTACGAACTGTGACACAGCAACATGTCTTAGATATGACCTATACCAGAATCCCCAAAAACAAGGTAGGAAAAAGCAATTTAAACACATGTGCCTGGCTCTCTTTACGGCCACCAGCACCGTGTTAGGGACCCACTGCCACCAGCTGACAGGAGTGAGGATCCCGCAGATTAAAGGGTTAAGGCCGGGGAAGCTTTGGAGGGTCCGTGACCAACATCCCGGGGGTGTGGGGGGTCCGTGGGCCGCCGTGTCCCGCGGCCTCGGCGGCGGCGCCGGGAGCGCCCCGAGCGCGGCGTTCTGCTTCCACCTAGTGGGCGTGGGGCGAGGGGGTCTGGCGGGCTGCCCCCCGTTACCGGGGGCTGTGACCCCCTGGGACCGGGGAGATGGGTCAGCAGGACCCCGCGGTGCGCTGTGTTCCCTGCCCGATGGGGCAGAAACAGTGCAGGACTGGCGAGGGGCAGGGAGGGCAGTGCCTGTGTTTAGGATAACAGAATCGTTTAGGTTGGAAAAGCCCTTTAACACCACCGAGGGAACCCAGCACTGCCACGGCCACCACTGAACCATGTACCCAAGTGCCACATCTACATGTCTTTCACGTATTTCCAGGGATGGTGACTCCACCTCTTCTCCCAGGCAACCAGTGACAGGACGAGAGGACATGGTCATAAGCTGCACCAGGGGAGGTTTAGGTTGAACATTAGGAAGAATTTCTTCACAGAAAGGGTGATTACACTTTAGAATGGGCTGTCCAGAGAGACGGTGGAGTCCCCGTCCCTGGAGATGTTCAAGGAAAGCCTGGACATGGCACTCAGTGCCCTGGTCTATTGACAAGGTGGTGTTGGGTCATAGGTTGGTCTCAATGATCTCAGAGGTGTTTTCCAACCTAATTGTTTCTGTAATTCCACCACTTCCCTGGGCAGCCTGTTCCAATGCCTGACGACCCTTTCAGTGAAGATGTTTTACCTAATCTCCAATTTAAACCTCCTTGGCACAACTTGAGGTCATTTTCTCTCATTCTATTGCTTGTTACCGTGGAGAAGAGACCAACCCTCACCTGGCTCCAATCTCCTTTCAAGTAATTGGAGAGAGTGAAAAAGTCCCCCCTGAGCCTCCTTTTTCTCCAGGCTGAGCCCCCCAGCTCCCCCTGTGGCTCTCATCAGACTTGTCTTTAGACCCTTCCCCAGCTCTGCTGTCCTTCTCTGGACACCCTCCAGCACCTCGAGCTCTTTCTTGTGGTGAGGGGCACAAAACTGAACCCAGGATTTGAGGTGCTGCCTCATCAGTGCTCAGTACAGGGAGGCAGTGACTGACCTCATCCTGCTGGCCACACTATTGCTGGTACAAGCCAGGATGCCTTTGGCCTTCTTGGCTAAATAATTTCTACTTCAGTGGGGATTTTCAGCCACTGAATTTATAGAAATTGCTACTAAGGGAGGAAAGAGGAAGGACTTCTCCCAGATCCAGGCTCACTGTGGCAGAGCCCCCTGTGCTCGGTGCTGTGGGAGCTGCTCAAAGCCAGCCCACCCCTCACGCCCACTGTCAGTGCTGCTCCCTGGCTTTGGGACTGGTGCCTGTGCAAAACCCAGGGAGACAACGATCCATCCAGGGACAGTCTGGGAGGCACCTGAGAGGTGTCTTTGTCCCTGCACATCCTTATGCCTCTTTTCAAACACATGTACAGCACAGCCCCTCTGTGCCGTCCCTGCCCGTCCCGCGCGGGCTGTGCCATCACAGCAGCTCTGACACATCCACACTCTGTGAGCTCGGCCCAGCGTGGGAGGAGGAGCAGGATCGAGCCAGCCTTGTGCCATCTTACACGGCTTATGGGGAGGTGCAGAGGTTGGGTGTTCACTGTGTGCCTGTCACTAGATGGCATTGCCATGAAGTGGTTCAGCTGGGAGATTTGTGAGCATGAGCTCAGGCTGCACCTGAGGTCCCCAAAACCTGCTGTTCCTGTTTGCTTTGGCGTGGTCACCAGCGAAAGCCTCACCGGCATTTTCACGTTTCAGGGTGATTGGACCTCAAGTTGATTTTTACTTGTTGAATTCAGTACTCCAGATATGTTTACAACACACTATTATAATCCTGCAGCATTCTCTGGCATTTTCTGTTATTGTTTGAGTCCCTGGATGATAAAATTGGCAAGCTTTCAGAGCTCCTGAATAGATCATCTTTCCATATCTATTTAATACTCTAAATAATGCAGCCAAAGACCCCTGCAGCTCCAGCTGGGAAATGGAAAGGATGGTTAAACCACTTAATTACTTACTGTGCTAACAGTTATTTTACGGAAACCGAAAGCAGAATCCAGCTGTTTTGGGGGAAATCAGGAAGAAGTTAATATTGTCATCATTCTGCAACAAAAATACATTGAAGTGGACAGCACATACTGTGCTGACACCTGCAAAGGAGGCACAGAACTGCTCTGCCACATGCCACCAGCTCAGAGTGGCCAAGGGTGACAAGTCCACGTTTGTTCAAATGAAGCAGCACCTGGTGTTTGGATTCCTTCAACCACTCAGCCCATTTTGCGGTGAAATCCCGAGCAGCTTCAGCCCATTAAAAGCAGGAGGAGTTTGTGGGGTGGACAGGTTGGCAGGGGCAGAGGATAAGCCATGACAATTGTGTCAGGGGCTGAACTGGGATAGTTTGAGTCTTAGCTCCAGAAGGCCTAAGTGCCACGTGCTGCTTGGCTGGGGCTGTTTGTCCATCACTCTGAGCTCCTTCTGCAGCCAAGTCACCCACAAGCTGGGGTGTGTTACACCTGCTATGGCCTCTGCCAACTTCTGCCGGCACCTGAGAGCATTTGTGGAATTTTCTAGCAGGTGAGAGAGACGCCCAGTGAATTAAGAGTTCAGCTGCTCAGGGCTGGAGCAGCTCCAGGATCACTTTGGGGTCATCTAAGCAGTTCTCAGCATGTTTAGATTCTTCTCCTGCTCATTGCTCTCAGCAGGAGCACTCATGGAACAGGGGAAGCTGGTATTACACAGTGTCCTGGAGGACTCATATCAACACTATTTTCTTCTTTCGCAGAGACCTGATGCACTAAGTGGACCCCACAGTATGAATGACCTTACAGTGCAGCTCCAGGCCAAAGGCAGTGTGGTCCCAGCCTCCCTGTGCTGGCTTCCCAGGGAGCTGCTGCCCCTGTTCTTTCTCCCAGGGACTCTTGCCTTCCACTCCTTCCCTACAAAGCCACGTAGCTGGTATATGCCCGAAAGCAGAGCTGTGAGTAAAAACTGAGGCTGTGAATTCCCAGCCCACTCCCTCATCTGTTTTGTCATGGGACTTCTAAACTGCTCATTGCACTTTCCGGAAATTAGGAAATTAAATCCTTTCCTGCAAGAAGGGAGATGCACATATTTGCAGCAGCATTGACTGTTTGAGAAGGAGAAACCCCAAGTCTGCTGCTACTCATGCAGTGTTGACTCTAAGCAGAGTTTGTTACAAGTTCCCATCTTATGTGTGTTAAAACAAGGTGTCAGCCCCTTTTTTATGAAGTAAATGTGTAGGGCCTTGCTGTGAATGCAGCCTCTTTGGCAGCCTCTTTTTCTTACCATCTGTAAAATGTGACACCTCTGTGGGTCTTGGAAAGGAAGCTGAGCCTCTGCTGTTCCAAGCAGAGAAAGAAGGTGATATTTATAGTCAACTAACCATAAAACTGTGACTTCCAGAGCTGAACGTGCTCAAGCCATCCCCAAACCCTCAACTCTGAATGTGCTTCTTTATACAGGTCTCTCTGGGAGTCGGCCACACTCCATCCTGCTGTTAGTGCTTTGCAAATCAGCCTGAGGTGAGATATGAAAAGCATCCTGCCTCCTACCTGGCACCGTGCTTACCCAAACAGCTTCTCCCTCACGTTACCTCCTGTCCTGCCCCAGTCAATAGCTCCAGTTGATAGCCAGCCTCTGCTGCATGGCCTGGGTGTGCCCCTGAGGTGCTTCCTGATTGCACTGGCCTGACCTCTCTATGTGTTAGCAGGTGAAAAGTCTCTTACTGTGCAGCTGGCATGAAAAAGAAGATTTAAATACATTATTGCTGAATGAATCCAGATCAGATCTCGCCACTCCCCAGAATAAAGAATAAATGTCCGGTGAGAGGTGAGTTCATGACCTCCCTGACATTTTCACCAAAGGTGCCATTTCATTTTCCTGCAGAGCCAGCCTGAGTTTGGGGGAACATCACAAGGGTAATGATATGTTCTAGGTACCTCCATCTCCCTTCCCATCATTAAAGGAAGCAGGACCATCCTGAGCTGCCTGAGATAGTGCTTCAGGCTCTGCTTTGCACCAGTTTCAGCAGAATCCTTTACCATGGCCCTTCCCAGGAGCTTTTAAGCTTCCCCCTCCATCTTGTCTGAGACATTAATATTTCCTTAATTCCTGCCCTTGATTTTTCCCTCTCTGCTTGTCTGTTTTGCCAGACAGCACCTGTAAGTCAGTAATTACAATGCAAAGCCAGTGCAAGTTGCAGTGTCTGCTCTGAGGTCCATGCAGGGCTGCCTGGTGGCTCTCCTCAAGCTCAGGGGGAGGACATGCAGGAGGAGCTGGTATCCCACTTAACACCCACTCATCACTACCATCCCTGTTTAATGGCATGAGCTGCTAATGAAGGCAGAAGCTGCCCGTCATTAATTAGCAATATGAAGCAAGAGGCAGAATTATTTAGGGCTCCCTACTCTTTAGAGTCTTGTGAAACCAAGGGAAATACCCTAATACAGGACCTTCCTCTATGGATATGGTGTAAAAGCCATAAGGTGCCACAGAACCACCAAAGTCAATAATTTAATCAGGGATTAATTCACATGTCAATGGAACTGTGCAGAACACTGATAAAATAAACCTCTCCCCTCCTGTACACAAGGATTACAGTAGCTGTTTGTGAGGTAGCTCTGTACCTGGGACATCTTACAGTGTCAGAGTTGGTCTTATTTTTGGGCACATTCTCAAACTGCACCAAGTCCTGCTCCTCGGTGCAAGAACAGTGGTGCATGTTCATGTGTCAAGAGCTATTAAATTCTCAGCATTTCTCTTGGAGCAGCTGCTCTCACAGTTAATTGCAGAAGAGCATATTTAAAGAGCCATAAAGGAATAACTCTCAGCTATTACTGAGTTTTATTAAAACTTTATTGCGGTGCAATTCCACAGAACAAAAGTTTCACTGTAAGACTTGCAAAGCCAACCCATGATTTCCTCTGAAGATCTTGTTCACCCAGTTGGCAAGTGCTTCTCTGGTATTTCCTTGAGAGGGTTGCAATGTGATTGTGTTGATTAGCCTGGACCAGTCTGAGACTTCAGACCTTGTAGGCAATACCTGAGAACCTTATCTTGGGCAAGATTTTATCTTCCCACACTAGTGAGAATGGTGTAGCTTTAGCCAGACTACAGTAAATGTCTCAGCAGTGTTCATGGGAAGACCGTGGATTCCTCTGGTAATACTCTGAGTGGGAAACAGGCCCAGCATCTTCATAAAAGGTTAGCAGAGTATTTTTTCTTTTGGGATGACATATTTTTGGGACACAGCAGTAACTGTGCTTCTCTGAGGCACTGGCGCAGGTTGCCCAGAGAAGCTGTGGATGCCCCATCCCTGGAAGTGTTCAAAGCTGGGTTGGATGGGGCCCTGAGCAACCTCATCAAGTGGGTGGCATCCCTGCCAATGGCAGGAGGTTGGAACTAGATGATTTTTAAAGTCCCTTCTAACCCAAACCATTCTATGGTTTTATGATTCTGTGATCTCTCTTCTTCCATTCTGGTGAACATTTTTGACAACACCCTTCTACCTGATGATTCCTCACCTTTCAGCAAGGAAGGAAACTCAAACTCTTAAAATACTGAAGCTGATTTATGGCAGCAGGGTGCTTTGCGTGAGATGATGTTAATCGAACATGCTGCAGCAAGTGGGTGGACAAACAGCAGGTGCTGGAAGATCAATAATGCTGTAGAAGTCCTGACGAAGAGGAAAGCAAACAGTGTTTCTGCATCACAGGGAGGTGAAATCCAGATTGTGTCCAAGGTGCTACACTACAAAACCTATTAGTTACATATAAAGTGAAAATTTATTGACTGAAGGCTTACAGAAACAGATTTGTGCCATGGGTTTAACCACATGTCTACAGCAGAAGCAACCAGCACGAAGGAAGAGGCTGCAGACTGATGGAGAAGCAATGCAATGCTCACTTAAGTCCTGCTGGAGCAACTGCACTCCACACCCCTCTGAAAGGGAGACATCAAATGTCTCCATGATATTAACATTAGCCTGAGCGATCTGGATGGATGGATGTGGTCAGCCCAAACCCAGAGGGTGGCCCAGCTCTGTGCAGCCTCCCTAAGTAACCATCCCTCAGACCACCCTTTGCTTGAATCACAGACTGGTTTGGGTTGGAAGGGGTCTTAAAGCTCATCTCATTCTGATCTCCTGCCATGGACAGAGATGTCACTCACTAGACCGAGTTCCTCAGAGCCCCATCCAACCTGGCCTTGAACACTGCCAGGGACGGGGCATCCGCAGCATCTTCTTGACATGTGGGGACCACCAAAGTCCCCCTCCGTGAGCAGGGGTGCGGCTGTCCCAGCAGCTCACACTGAACCGGGGCACCGCTCCTTTCACAGGGAGGTCACCCACGGCGTGCAGCGCCCGGGTCCGGGAGCAGAGGAAGTGCTGCGGGTCCGCCATCGCCCTGGGGAGATCTCGGACCGCCCGCCGGGCGCCTCCCGGCCCGAGGGGCGCGGCGGGGCGGGTGGGACGGGGCGCGCCGGCCCCATCGCTCCCCGCCCCCGGTCCGCCCAGCGGGGCCGGCACCGGCTCCTACCCCCGCCCGGAGCCCGGCGTGCGCCGGGAGCAGGCTCCGCGCCCCTGCCGCGGACATGGAAGCTTTCTGCGGGTCCCGCTTCTGGGTAAGCTTCTCCTTGCCCTGCCCTGCCCTGCGTGCCCCGCTGGAGCGGTTTTTGCGCGGAGCGCCCCCCCGGGGCGGGGGGGCAGCGCCGTGTCCCGCTCGGCTCCGCTCCCCCCGGGGGTTCCCCTGTGCCGGGTCGGAGCGGGCACGGGGACCTCGGTCCTGCCGCTCTCGAGGGGCTGAGCGGACCCTGCCCTCGGTCGCCTTGGCTCCCGGGGGCCGTCCCAGGGCCGGCGGTGCCTCCGCCCGCTCCCGGCTCGGGCGGGAGCAGCGGAAGGGCCGGTGCGTTCTGTTCGCGATTCAGCATCTCCCGAGCAGAGCCAAGACCCCGGGGGACCGCACAGACCATCCCACGGGGGGTGCAGCTCTCCCAGCATAGTCCACCTCACAGCAGTAAACCTGACTGTTCCCTTCTTCTGAGAGTCCTGTTTTGGCATGTATTTTGCTCTTCAGAGTCACTCCCATGAGTGGCAAACTGCTCCCTGTTCAGTGCTTTGTTACTGCTAAAGAAGGATGGGTTCGTAGCAACCGAGAGTAGTCACCAAACTCGGAGGATTGCAGTGGCTTCTCTCAGTATTTGGAGCCGTCAGCACTTGGGAAAAGCTGATTGCAGCAGGCAATGGGTTTGTAAGCACAAAAGTTTGGAAATTGCTGCCATGGTCTGCTCTGATGGTGAAAGTGTGTAAGTGCTGTTACAAGCGCTGGGTTTCCCCAAGGCTCAGCGTGCTGCTTCCCTCTCTGTGCAGTGTAGGCAGACACAGCATGAATCCACAGGGATTTGAGCATCTATGGTGACGCTGGAATTGCCGCCTGATAAATCAGTTTTTATCTGTCCCTTTTTTTATACTGATTTAGCTCAAGGGAGGTTTGGGGGTTTTTTTCAAATGAGGAGCAGGAATGAAAAGGAATGTCTGCAGTTGCATCACTGCTGGAAAGCTTTTACAGGACAGCACAAGCAATTGGCTCTGAGCACTTTATGCTGAGTTCCATCCTCAGATAACTAATTATCTTTCAATAACTTTCCCAGCATTACTCGTTAAAAGAGGACTTTGGCTCCTAAGCCTCTTGGTTACATTTCCTTGTTCACATTTCATTTCCAAGTGTGCTGCACTCTCTCTACCACAACAGTTGGCAGATAAGCTTGCTCAAACAAGTATTTTCGTATTATTTCTACTATAAACACTTCTAGAGCAGGAACAAGCACCAACAGATCGAAACTGCTCACTAGCAGACTGCCTCCAGAAGCGTGTCTTAGTTTCTCAAGGAAGGGTTGTAGTGCAACAACTCTTTGTGCCCAAAGCTTTTGTAACAGCTTATTGATACATTAATGTAAAATGCCTAGGAAGTTTTGCTGATTTTTTGAATTTAGTGCATCATTCTGTACTTTATGCCGTACTGTTACACTCCATCCCAGTGCCCTGTGCACTGCTGCCTGGGGTATCTGCACTCTCTAGAACTGTTCTGTTTCTTCTGTCAGAGTTGTCTGGAGTCAGAACAACTTCCCATCTGTTTAGTTGATTTAAAAAGTGGTACTCAATAACTATGTGAAATGGAGCACTGACCCAATGACCAACAGATTGAACTCCATGACCATCCTATTTTCAGCAGCTGGTGGTTATTTTCTCTTGAGTAGGAGTGTGTGCAGTGCGCTGATTTTATGAGATATTTTAAGTGATGACCAGGTAGATGACAGTCGCCATGAAATGATTTGCTGTGCAAATATGCTTTTCATATGTTTTGAACTGTGCCCACAAAAGCTGGGGTTTCTCCTGCTGCTCTACACTTGAAGAAGGGAGAACAAGGTGAAGGGCAGTTCCCAGCCTGTGCACCAAACTAATGAATGGTGTTCAGCTTTGCAGTTTAAAACTAGAACTTGATAAAATGTGAACCAGTATCAACATTCACTTTTTTTTAGCTGATGCACTTAGGCTCCCCATTTTTTGTCAAAGAAAATCCAGATATTTTTGGAAGCTAAATGTCATATTGATGTCAGTTTTAAAATTGTTTAGAGCAAAACGAAACATGCTGTTTCAATTTAATCAGTTCTTTGTTTTGAAGTTTAAACCAACTACAATACTTTTCTGTTAAAAGGGGATCGGAATCAAAACAAAACAATTCAGAATTAGCTCATGAAAATGTTTACATTGGAATATATCAGCTTTAACAGATGATTGATTTATCTTGGATTTTTTTTGGCTCATTGAAAGTGTTAAGATTTCAACTCTTCACCCTGATGCAGGGTGGGGAATTTTGCTGGAAATGTCAACTGATGGGGTTTTTTTGTGTTTGTGCAGAGGCAAAATAATTTCCTTTTCAAACCATTTTAGAAATAAGAAGTAAAAGGAAGCACTGTAGATCACATTAGAAATCTATAAAAGCTTTTAGCTTCCAGCTACTGCTTTACCTGTTGAACATGAAACCAGCAAATTGCTAATACAAATGTAGGTTATTTATATATAAAAGAGGAACAACTGGAATATTATGATTTGAAAATGCAGTATGAACAATCTCTTCATCTGAACACTTAGAATCATGCTGTCTACTTCAGTTGTTAATATCTCCTAGCTGTGTTCCCATGCTAAATGCCTTTTGGGAGGAGATGAGTGCAATAGCACATACCCACACAAGGCAGTCCTAAGGTGTGTTCTTTACCATTGCCTGCAATTACCTCCTATTTATTGTGTCACATATTTTCAGTGTGATAGTAAGAGTGTTAGATAGGTCTGCTGATTAACGTGGCCCACAGTCTCTGTTTTGAGGAGTAGATACCAGTTCTCTTATTTGAATTATCACTTATTTGTTGCTTTTGTCCTTCACTGTAGTAAAACGTGAGCAGCTGCTCTGCGAGGAGAGCAAAGTGATCTCCTGGGGAGTGTTTGCTGCAGAAGTGTTTTGGCCTCGTGGCTAAACAGCACAGGCTTAGAAAACCAAATTCTGTTCCAGTGGAAAGACACCTTGTCTTACTGCAGCTCAGCCTCTCTGGGTAAGAAATGGCACAGTGGGTGCTGTGAGGATAAAACCTCAAGTGCTCAGCAGTGCTGCTGGGTAATGTTGGGATGAGGGGTCATATAAACACCTTAGTCTACAGACAGGCAAAGTGCCTGGGCTTAAGCAGCAGCTTGTATTTCAGGTGGTGTGCTTTGTTTTTTTTAACAGCATAAATAGGAAATGGGAGAACAAGCGATATAACACTTCAAAGGGGACACCACAACTTCTCAGTTCCTTTTGATTCTGCCTGGCTCACAGAGCTCGGTTTCCTTGCCTACCCTCTGTCTTGGTCTCCTGACAGATGTCTTTTTTTTCCTGTCCCACGTGGAGTGCTGGCTCCTTCTTCATCCAGAGGCTCTTGAGTAATCCAACAGGAAGTTGCTGCAACTCTCAAGAGTAAACAATACCTCAGTCTTGGCTTTCAGAAAGTCCCTTACAAGCACCCTTTTCACCTTTAGGTTTGTGGGTATTTCTTCACCTTGAGTCATTCTGTCACATTCTGGTAGATTTAGGCTAAAAGTCACGCTGGTCTCTGGAAATGCATCTTCCTGCTCTGCTGGTTCAAAATGGCACCAGTCTCCCCTCTGCATAATTTCCCCTTTTGCTGCATCATGCTTAAATTGTTTGTGGTTCAAGATGACTCAGGATAGCTGTAGTAAGAAGAAATGTTTCTTTCAAGCAAAATGACAAATAATATACTGCTTGAAACATGTGTACAAGTTCATTTAAAAAAACCCCCATAACTTACATGATTTGGCTCTAAAGTAATAATGAAACATTGAATTTTAATTATTCCATTATATTCTCAACTAAATCAGTTCCAGAGGATGAGTGAAGCAAAAGGTGGTAGGAGATCATTGCAAAGGAAGGATCCTGCAGTAGGGTGGCATGGCCCAGACTGGCTCTTGTTTATATATTAGCTTCCCCTTCTGCCACCCTGTGATAAACACAGAATGTTCAGTGTTTATAGATATTTAGACATGATACAGACCTCCACATAATCTTTGTTAACTGCATCCAACTTCAGCTGAGTCCCACTCCTATAAATCTCTTCACAAGTAATTGTATCAGGTATCAGTGTTCTTTCTCATGTAAGGCAGGAGATCAAAATAGGTGACTTTAATGATCCCTTCAGACATCACATCTATGAAGCTTTGCTCTCTCAAAGGGTAGCTGTGTTGGCAACGTCCTGAACTTAAAAACAATTAAGTACTTAAGCTCAAATCCTTCAAGATTTTCAGATTCTTGAAATGAGTTGAATGGAAGCTAATGGATTTGGGCCACAGATTCTCAACGTCAAGAGCAGTATAAATATTTAGCATTGGATCTGGAGTATTAGCCAGGACCTGTTATCATTCATTTGTGTGTAAAAGGCATAGACTGTATAGTCAGATAGCCTGTATTTGACTCTCTTTGGGAAGACAAAGTCTGGATTTGAGAGTTGTGAGCAAAAATTCATACCAGTGAGAGCTGCCAGTATCAGGGGAGCCCTTCCATGATGATGTCAATTAATAAAGCTCTTCATCTTTCAACACAACTGTTCCTCCCCAGACCATTTTAGCTTATGTGACACAGCTGGTAGAGGGAGTAACTGGGGCTTAGGCATTCTATAAAGTTTGCCTCCTGAAAAGAAATAATACTGAAACTAAATCTGAGTTGCATGAGGAGCTCCTTCAAATGGAGCTAAAATCTAATCACTATGGTTAAGAATATAAAGTGTTTTGAGATGGGGCCTCACCTACCTGGTAGGCAAATCGCTGTGCCATGGGAGAGATAATCCTTTCCTTTCAACATGTGCAAATTTGTAATGTATTAAAATGAGGAGACCATTAGTGTTTAAAATTTAATTTAAAAAAAATTCTTTTGAAAAACCTATTAAACGAGATCTTTGATTTTTCCAGTAAGCTAATGCTCGATTTGTCTCCTGGTCCCGCCGTGACTGTGATGGGCCATTATCCAGTCACACATTATTTGGCTGAGCTGGAGGAGAGCACAGCAGCCAGCAGCCAGAGA